TTTTTGTTGATATATTGGGCAAGTCCCCATCTAGAAAAAAACGCGGAATGCGAATTCATTTGTGAGTGAAAAAAATGTGTAATTATCGGTTGGGACCTTTGCATAAATGTTAAATTACCTCAGATTTTTATTCTCTATCTTTCTCCCTCACTCTTGTTCTCTCTCTCTCCCTCACTCATCTTTCTTGTCTTTTTCTTTTCCTCTTCTTGAAGCTTTCGTTTTAGCGTTTATTTTCAGTTCTTTTATTTTTTTTAAATATATTTCGAACTTTCCTTCTATCTCCCTTTTATGCTTCTTTGTCTTTTTGTTTTCTAACAGTTTTTTCCTTTTCTCTCTTCTGTTTCTTCATCTTTTCTAATGTGACTGTCTTTTTTCTTTCTCTTTATTTCTTTCTCTAACTCCCTATTTCTAGTTTTTCATTTCTTTCTTTAAAAAATATTCTTTTGCCTCTTATTTCATTCAATTTTCTGTTTATTTTTTCCATCTTTTTTTTTCCCTTTGTCGCTTCAAATAATCATAAACTTGTTTTTTTTATTCCTGCTTTCAAAACATTTTCTCGGTGGAAAAAAAACCAAAAAAACAATTCCAAATAATTAAATATCCGCTCACCTCCTCCCTTAGTTTTCAATTTCTTTAAAAAATGAAGTCACTTATTTTATTTTGAATTACAAATTTTACTCATTTAAAAAGAAGATATTTTCAGCTTGTTATTACCACAATTCAAATCCTGAAATAAAATATGAAACCACCTAGGATTTTGTTATTTTTAACAACACAGATGATGTGTAAGATGTATTTTTAATCATGGATGAACAATGTCGTAGTTTAAGATGAGGAATGGTTACAGACAGTTAAGGAGTGGTTCTAAATTTGTTGGTTGAACACTAACAACAACAAAGTCTAAAGTTTTAGAGCCTCAGACCAAGGAATGGGTGCTGTGCGCAAAAAATGTTATTTTGTTTCTCTTTCTTCGTCGGTTTCTTTCACTCCTTCCTCCGCTTTTTTTTTTTTTTGAATGGCGGGTAATGGCATAGCTGTGACTAGATTAGGATGAAACGGCGGCAAGTTAGGAAAAGAGGCGGCAGAAGCAGGAGCAACTTGCTTTAACAAGCCCTTCACTTGCAACGAGGAAACGGAGAAAGACCAGGCGACGTCAGAGAGAGAAGACATATACTACCAGCTGTTGGCCAGACACAAACCACTCCTTCCATAGGTGAGTCTCCCAAAAAGTAACTTTTCGCTTCGCGATGCGCGTCTCCTGGAATCAGTGTTAAAAAGCAAAAAAAAAAAAAAAAAAAAAAAAAAAAAAACGGAGAAAGAAGAAAAGAAAAGTTGTCATCATAGCTGCAGTTTCATTTTAATTTGAAACTTCGCAAAATTATTTTAACCATTAAGTTCAACTTTTAACTTTCAAAATTAAAACTCTCTCTCATATTTGTGATAATAATTTAGTAAAATAATTTTTTTTTTCATAAAAAATAATAATTAAATACACGCACACACATTTCTTTTTATACACACTCGATTTTTCTGAATTTCTATACCCATGGAAGTGACATTTTAACTGCTTAGAGTTCAACCATAAGTATCGGATATTTTACAAGTATACAAAACTACTAAACAGCTTGGTTGAAGGCAAATTTGAAATTTGCATCCATCATATTCTCATCTCTGCTTCGAAAATAAGCTTTATAATTCAAAATACTTTAAATTTAAATCATTTTCATTTATATTTACATTCGGACTAATGTTCCTATCTGTTGTTATCAACATTTTGACCGTTGTGCTTTCCTGTTTTCTTCCGGTTTCTGTCAATCCCGGTAACCATCTCAGAATTTTGAACTGAGCCCTACAGGAGTAGATTGTTTTCATGTCTGGAATATCTTGTCTTTTTCCTTTTTAGTAATGCTAGTGCTGTTTCCACTGAATCTAAGTCTGTACTACCCGACCCAGGGATTGAACTTACAATTACGATGCTACCAAATTCACTAGGCTATTGTTCTGTTGTAACAACAACAACAAAGATGTAAACATTTTAGTCCGAATGTGAATAATGAATTCCTCATTACAAAAATTCAGACAGAAATTAAACAAAATTGTTTTGTTTATTTTTAACATTTCGTCACATTTTTTGACTGTCATAACAAATACTATCACCTTTGTACGATGAAATATTAAACAATCACAAAATGTGTTTTTCTTTTCTGACCTTCAAAGTAGACGTGTCTTGTTTATTATTGCCTCATAGTTAATGTTTACCTTTTCACACCTGCTTTTATTGACTGAAGAAAAATATATTATTTCAGTTTTCTAGTTATTTTCGGTAAGGCACTTGAATCATTTTTAACCTGTAACATTATAACCCGTCTACAGTCTAAATTTAAATTTAACAATCTTTCTAGAATTGAATTTATAATATTTACTGATTTTTATTGCTTAATAATGAATTAACTGATAATTTGTTTTAAAAAATATATGTTTAAAAATTTAGAAATCTGAATATTTTGCACGAAAAAAACCTAATTGAAAGAATCTTTTCCCCGAATAAATTTATAATTTAAAATTTGGAAAATTAACATTGAATTATGAATTTTTCAGAATTTAATCAATTGTTCATTGTGTCAAAAACACATTTTTCCTATTTTCTTTTTGTTGAATTCACATGAAAAAAATCAATTTGAATTATTCTCGTCTTTTTCATTGAGTGTTTTAGCTGACTTATTTTTCATCCCCGTTTTAGATTAATTATAGATTAATTTGGCAAAAATATAACAGTTTTCCTTTTAATTCAAACAAAACATTCGTCTTTAACTTCCTCAATTTTTCAACAATAAATAATAATTTTCTACATTTTTGGAAGAGGCGACGAGAAATAAAATTAGGATATTTATTCAGTCGAAAATTGATGGAATTTTTAAAAGTATTCCAGCAAAAGAAAATCTGGCGCTGAAAATACTTCAATTCTTACAAGTTACAGCCCAACAATAGAAAACTGTTGCTTGCTAAGCAAACAGGAAAATTCTGCTCTTTTTAAATAGGATACTGAAAAAAAATTTATAGAAGTTGAATTAATGCTTTTCTTTCTTTTTTTAACATTCGAAAAAGAACATTACAATGAAATTCAATGTGCCTTAATGATGAATTTATCAGGTTTTTAAGTCAAATCAAACAGACAAATGTGCTGGCTGCTCGAAAGTGAAGTTATCGTATGTTAAATTCAAATTGCTATATCAAAAAAAAAAAAATTTTTTTTCATTTTTACTTTGGATTTTAAAAGCTAAACTGATTTTGAAATTAAAATACAAAAGAAAAGCAAATATTTTGAGTTTTTCTCCAGTCTAAGGCCATTTTTATTTCGTTAAAATCTCAAATAAAACGAATAAGTTATACAGGCAAAAAACGAAGTATTTAGCAAAAAAAAATTTAAGCTTAAAAAAAAACTCGTAGCTTTTATGAGCAACAACATAAAATAGTTTTTTTTCAAACTATTTCTCATGCGACTTGTTTCGTTCATCGTTAAACATACGATGTAAAAACTATATTCTTGCATTTGATTAGAACTACTTACAGTAAAAAAAAAAGTTATTTTCTAACGAATTAATGAACAGACTGAGAAAGACAGATTTCCAATTCTGATTATTAAAGCAGACCCTTCCAAATTAAGATACTGGCTCAGCACAATCTTTCTACTGTAATTTTCCACCAATTGACACTGTGATCTAATCTTATTATCTACCTATATGGATGACTTAGAATTTGAATATTCTCTAACTGTCCATCCTGATGTCCGCAGTTCGAAAGTGAAATTTTGGTCGGAATTTTACGAAAGTTTGGTCGCTTTCAGTCAATCAGTTAATTGCCATACGCGATCCACGCTTGGGCGATCATGTCTCGTTTGATTGATGATTGACGAGACAGAAGATTTTGCCGCGGTAGATTGCCGTTTCTTTCTGCGGTAGACTGGTTGTCAACCAAGGCTATAGAGCCCAGTCTGTCCTGCTATTCAACCCATAGCTGGTGGATGGATTAATAATATATTTTCCAAGGGCATTTGCGCGTAAGTTAATGTAACGAACCCGAAATGATATTCGAACACTGCTCTCCGATTTCACATGCTAAAGCGTTATTCATGGCACCACACCGACTAAGTGCTAGATTTGAAGGTGAGGGAATACCAAATTTAGTGACATTATCTTGCAAGAAGGGTTTATTCATGGCGAACGTTGACTGAACCGTTTTGAAACAAATTTACTATTCATATGACATATTGAACTTAGAAAGATCGTCGGTGCGCCAGGCACTTGGATATCCGAGATATCCCAGCATGCAATTCTGGGAAGAGTACATGTGTTTATATTCTTTAAAAAGGTATTCTGAATTTGAGGAAATTGTGCTTCAGCTATGAAGATTTGGGGAGTTGGTGTGCAAAGGAAACATTTGGGGGGGGGGATAAGAAATTGGGAGGGGGGGGATAAGAAATTGGGAGGGGGGGAAAAATGTAAAAGAAGTGGTAGGTTGGTAGTGGACATGAAAAGATTATGATAGATAATAAAAAGAATTATATATATATTATATATTTATTTTTAAATAAATAATTATATTTATGCTCTTCTTTTGTATCGAGCACTATTTTTTAAAAATAATAAAAATACTAAAGAACTTTGGATTATTTACCTAACGAGTTCTTTCCTATTTTCTATATATTTTTCACACACACACACACACACACATATATATATATATATGAGAGAGAGAGAGAGAGAGAGATAAAAGGTTAATGGCCAGAGTTGAATCAGACTAGCAAACAGTAAATATTAAAAAGTGTTCACTACACGTATGAAAAAAATAAAGGTAAAAAATAACATGTAGAGCTTTTAATTTTAAAAATCATGATTTTTAAAGTATATATATATATAAAAATTGCCCTTTTTATCTATCTCAGTCTTTTTTATATATATATATATATATATATATATATATATATATATATATGAGAGAGATCAACAGAGAGATAATAAAAAGACTGAGATAGATAGATAAAAGAGGGGCAATTTAAAAACGAATAAGAAGATAACATTCATGGAAAGAAAAAAGTTGATGACGAAAGAAAGAAACACGTCAAATGTAAAAGCCATTCCTTCAGTTCTTACTCTCCGACTTTCGAAACTGCACCTGCCTATTTTAATTAGTTCCTCGAGCTGGAAAATGGGAGGTGGAAATGAACAGGTAAAACATTAGTTGTTCGGCAAAGATTTGCTACCTTGAAGGCTTACCTTCACCCATTCTCCACCCGAACTTCACACACATTTCAGAATGATACTCGTGAGTAGTCCGTCTGGAAATATCCGTCCACTTATTGGTCATAGCAAAAAAGAAACTCTCAAACATTTACATAGAGAAACACTAATGGAATCTGCTTGCTAAAATATCCATATAAGGACATTGGTGGAAGCATTTTTGCGCCTTGATAAACGAGCCATATGTAATGTGACCGGTCAGCCATTTTGACGGGTTTGGTTTATTTACGAGAAACGATGGATTTCAGAACTGGAATTTTTTTTTTTAACTGTCGAAAGAATTTTAGTCATAAATTTATTTGCTTGGATCTGGGAAGAGTAACTAATTTAACTTCTTTCAGTGTGTGCCGGTTATTTCTTTGATTAAAATGGGCAAATTTAACAATGAATCGAAGTAAATATTTTGATTTCATATGTCTACATCAGTAACATAAGTGAAAAGTCGTTTTTAGCGTTTGGCATGAATCAGTCTTTAGATAGAACTTTTGATAAGACCACAAGTGTATAAAATATACATGCACACAGTCAAACGTATATATACACACAATTTGAATTAAATTTAAATAGATGTGTGTCGCAAAGGTTAACTTCCGTTTCTGTCTAACAACAACCCTTGGGTAAAAGTGGAATAGTTTCATCCGATATGTTCGGCCCTTAGAAGTCATTTTTACGACTCCTTTATTAAGACTGAATATATTTTCTAATAAATGTAGTATTTTAAAAGGACAAACAATTTAGATTTTAAATTTGATCATCTTGTCGTCAGTGAAACAATAGCTACAAAACAATTTGAAATAATCTTTTTAGTTATTTTCCAAATGTTGATCGTTTGAGAATGGTTCAAATATATAAATAAAACTAATTATCTATCTAGCTCTCTCTCTCTCTTTATATATATATATATATATATATATATATATATTTAAATAAGTACCAGCTACCACAAGACTTATAGATAGTTTTAGACAAAAAACGCGTATGTTTTTCCTTAAAAGTTATGTGAGTTTATATTTCTTTTTTATACTCACTGGAACTATTTATTTCGATTTTGTTGCCACTTTCCTCCTCTTTGATTTTTTTCTTCCCCTTTTTAATATTAAATTGAATTTAATTGTGATTCTTCGTGTCCTCCCAGTTTGTCTATAACTCTGCGATTCTCGTTAAAATTTTATTTTCGCCAACAATTCTTCTGATAAGGTGCTGTCCGAAAAAAAGTTACATTTTTAAGGGAAAAATATGCGGTTTTGTCTTTATAAAAGGCGCAAACACTAATATTCCACGGTTATAATTTTTGACAAGACCACACGGGAGGTCTGATGAGTTGGATCGTGATTACGATTCCAATGTAATAAATGGAATATTAGTGTTTGAGCCTTTTATATTATATTCTTGCTCTGTCCTGGACATTGAGCTCTATCTGGATTCTATCCTCTTGGAAATATATATATATATATATATATATATATATATATATATATATATATTGACCACTAATATTATCTATCTATCTATCTATCTATCTATCTATCTATCTATCTATATATATATATATATGAAATGAAGATTTAAGACATTAATAATCCCAAATTTATGGAAAGTCGGGTCGGTGTTTCATAATAAGCTACAGGAATAAAAACTATTCCATGTCAAGCGATTTTGCCTATTATGTACAATTTCAGTTAAGTAATAATACCATATACAGATACACACACACACACATATATATATATATATATATATATATATATATATATATATATATATATATATATATATATATATATATATATATATATATATATATATATATATATATATATATATATATATATATATATATATATATATATATATATATATATATATATATATATATATATATATATATATATATATATATATATATATATATATATATATATATATATATATATATATATATATATATATATATATATATATATATATATATATATATATATATATATATATATATATATATATAGTGAATATACATCATATTCAACGTCGATTGTTATCGACGTTGGATACTATGTATATTCACTAATATATACTTATAGCTATGTCACATAACACTGATCACTGTATTTATAACACCTGTTGAAGAAATATATTTATAGGTACGTACAATTTTGCGTGCGTGTAATGTATATTTTATCATGCCCATACCTATATATATATATATATATATATATATATTTCAGCAAAATTAATGACAACGTGTGATTTCTTTCGTCCTTTAGGACTTCATCGGACATAACTAGACATAAAAACTAGACATAAATTATATGCCATTTTTCTACACACAAAACTATCGAAGTATAAAGACCCGGAAATCGAAATAGAAAAACGTGGAAATTGATAACAAGAATATTACCCGTCATAGTAGGTTCGCTTGGAATGATAAAAAAGGGAACACAACAAAACATTGAAAGAATTCCTGGAAATCCCAGTTTAAGTGAAATACAAAAAATTGTCTTGATAAGTACAACCCACTCACTAAGAAGAACTTTGTCCATGTAACGCTAGTGATGTTATGGGAGTTAGAAAAACAAATGCAGAAATGTAATCATAACAACACACCGCTGCCTGCCTTAGGTTTACCCGCAGACTTGATAGGTAGTGTGGCCATAGCTGAAATCGAAATATAATGATAATAATATACACAGACAAAACAATCAAAGCTAATCACCCAGAGACCGCAAAAGCAAAAGGTGCCTTCTTATTGACATGGCAATCCTTGCAGTCTGTAAGTTATCTTCCAAGATCTTCGAAAAAAAAAAAAAAACAAACTATCAAATCACAAGCACTCCTGAGTGGTTGCTTCCCGTATTACTACACGCTTAAATTATTTAAGTCTAGGGTTAACCGTTATCTTTCCTACATATCCTTCTTAAACTGTACTTATCACTCCTCCTCTTATGTGCAGCAACTTCTTTCAGTAACATTCTGTCTTGAGTGGCTCATGGGTCTTGTACTATGTGAAATATTAGTAAAAAAATGTCACATGGATATTGAGAATTGCTAAACTTTATCCCAAAATGAATTGGATATAGCAGAAGAGTTTCATAATCTTTGAAATTCAATTGCGATACCTAATTAATGACTCGAATCTGAAATTCCCAGAGCCATGTCACTTATCTGTGCCTTTTCTATAAATACTTTGTATGATGATTGTTTGGATAAACTTTCAGCTATGGTACCTAGACTTTATGAATTTAAGCGAAGTACTAGATTGGCAATAAGGTTTCATCAATTCACAGTTGAATTGGCTAGATGCAACCGTAAGTTCTATGTTAACAATTTCTTCTATTGCACTTCTCGCTTGTGGGACTCTCTTCTGGCTCCATACTTTCCAGCCAGTTTTGATCTTCAAAAATTTAAATGCAATGTCAATCGCTCTCTACTGTCTTCCTTATTATTCTATTGTTCTAGCTGCTTAATAATTGTTCTCTATTTTTTATTCTTTCACACTCAGTAACTCCTTATGCCTTAGTGGCTTTACTACTTTGCTTGGGGTGAAATTATTCAAAAAATAAGCTTCTTCAAATACGTCTAAGTTAAAAGTGTTATTAGCAACGAAGACACAATAAAATTCGACGAAAAAGAAAAAAATAACACATAGCAAATGGAATGTAGGAAGTTTGCTATTGTACGTGATAGCATGAGGAAAGAAAGCCTGGTATGTGATTAGGGTGGCTAGGCAGATCGGTAAGATGAGTGGATGAGGAATGACGCTCATCATCCTCACCTCTTCTTTTAGTTTTCTGCTTCGCCTCTTTCTTGGCCACCAACAGGGAAGAAGGTAGCTGACATGTTGAAGAATTCTGAACGCTTCCTGAAAGCAATAAAAGACGGTTCGTATTTCTTCTAGCAGAAAAAGGAAGCAGCAGCGGTGTTTGTCTGTGTTTGGGCACCGTTTTCTGAGGAGGGGGAGGGAATACCACTCATAGTTTACGTGGGGGTCGTTGCAAGGTGGAAAAGGTAAAATAAAATATTTGCTTGAGGCGCAGACATGAAATGAAAGGCGAAAGCATTATTTATGGAAGATACGCATACAGAAGAGTTAATCAATAATTTCATAGCCTGACCCGAAAATATCAGCTAAACTTTGATCTGAAATGTTTAATGGATAATGTTTAATCTGCGCATTAATATTCACCAATGAACTAGGAAGGTTTTTATATACTAATGTTCACCCAACATAATGCCAAAGAGCCACTCAAGGTAGAAGGTTACTGTGTGATATTGTATGAGCCTAAGAAAAGGCAAGAAGTTCATGGAGTTATGTGTGTAAAACAACGGTTATCTCTATACTTGATTGATTGGTTTGTTTAACGGCATATCAACAGCCTATGGGTCATTTAATGCCGAAATTAATTTTCTTGGGAGCTTTGAAGTAATAAAAATATAATATGTTATTCTGCTTTCACAATTGAATACATGGTAGATAATACTCAGCTTTTTCATGTTTGTGTGGACATCATTACTAGAGGTCGTGATATGTGTGTTTTATGTTGTAGTTTTGTTGAAGTTATATTTTGTAATAGAGTTTGATTTAAGAAATTGTTGCATATTATTTGAATTAATGTCATAAAAGAGTTCTTTCAGGCTGGTTGGTTGATTTTGTTTAGCAGTATATCAATATGAGTTAATCTAAATCTAAATATTTTGAATGGAATTGTATGCCTTTAATAATAGATAAAATACATAGCTGGTCATTTTACTTTAACCCTCGACTTGAAGAAGTTAAGATTGTAGTGATTGGGAAATCATTTTGACGGAGGTTTTTGGGAAGAAGCTGTCCGAATGGAACTTACTTCTTACTATTGGAATAAGAAAGAAAAAAAATAACGGTTAACCCTAGACTTGAAGAGGCCAAAAAAACATCCTGGTGGGAGTCTGTTCCACAAAGCAGCAGTTCTTGGGAAAAAATTATCTGAGTGGAACTTACTGCTTACTAATGAAATACGAAGTGAATGAGGGTGATTCATCTATGGGTACATGACATGGCAGGTCCCAATTTTAAAGGTCCGGGGCCGTGGGCTTAAGGAATGTAGCTCATTAGAACATATGTCATGGAAATATCGATAGAGTAGCGAGAAGCTCGCGATATTTCGTCTGTGGAAAAGAAGTTGTTAGGTGGAAAATAATTCATTACTCACAAGATTGCGTAGACGCTTTTGAACTCTATTAAGAACGGCAAGTAAAGATTAGGCAACTCCTGCTTAGATATGGTAGCAATACTTCATTTTTGGTCTGGTCTGCCTCTGTTTTGTAAAGGTAGAGTAAAGCAGGGGGAATCAGATACTTACTGGAGCAGTACAATGAATCGGCTATTTTTTCACCATCTTTAGCAATAGATCGGATATACGAGTTCCATTAGAGATATGGGGAGAGCTTGAGTCTCAGTAGACGTCATGACAAGGAGCGTCCTTGAGAGTACAACCATCAATCATGATAGGTGAAAGTTTGGGGTCTGCTCGATGGTGGTTCTGTGGAGAGTCACCATCTCCCTCGTTATGAATGAAGAATGAATTAAGATAATTAACATGGAAAGAAGAATGAATTAAGATAATTAACAAGGAAAGAGATTGTATTAAAAATGCTTTTTGCCATTACTTTTAATTATACAACGACAACAACAATAATAAAAACATCTCCAAAACTAAACTCCTCTCCATTAATCATCTGAGAGACCCCTCTCTGCTTTCCATCAGCATGGCTGATGTTAACCTTCAGGAAAGTGACTAGTTTCGTCTTCTATAAATACTTTCATGGTAATTTTTCGGAAGAGCTCTTCAACATAGTGTGTAGACTTTATGAATTTAAGTACAGTACTAGACTGGTGTCGTGATCTCATCAATTTAGAGTTGAGCTGGCTAGATGTAACCGTAAATTCAGTTTCTTTTCTTGCACTTCTTGCTTGTGGAATTCCCTTCCGGTTCCATGCTTTCCAACCAACTTTAATTTGCCGAGCTATTATCTATTCCACCGCCCACACATTCAAGCTTATAGCGCCAGTATTCCAAACCAGTCACTCATAGTAGTGCGGGGAGAAGAGGTGGATTTATAGATTTCTCAAGGGTATTTGCGTGTAAGTGGATATAATGAACCTAACTGGAGTTGAAACTCGACTCTCCGATTAACAATTCCAAGCCATTATCTATTACACCACCCGCACATCCAGCACATGGTATTCCCAAACAGTCACCCATCTAGGTACTAAGCAGGCTCGACATTTTCAGTAAGCATACCGGAACCGATGTTTCAATGTGATGTGGCCGTAAGCCACCCAGTTTATTGGAGTATTAGTAATTGTTGAAGATATATTTACTTGTACTGTACACGACACGCAGTTCACTAGGGACTAAGAAGTCCTGCGGAAGAGAAACGATACACGTCTTGTCCTTGCAACATCCTGTAGGTGAAGAGTGAAAAAAAAAGAGAACTTTTTTATATACTGCTCTATTTGATAACGCCATCTAGAGGACATTAGGAGAAGTCTTTTAGCAGAGAAATGCGATAATTCAACAGAAGTCGTTTTCAATGTTAATCTTTCAGATTCACTTGATTGTCTAGATATTCGAATCAATTGTACCCCAAACTACCATCAGTCACGAGGAATATGTTCCCTCTGGGAGGCCCAGTGCCTCGAGTGACTATTAGGGCTTACTAATAGACTTTAAGTTGAACTCGTACATACAATCCATCGCTAAAGATGCCGAAAAAAAAATGGTCGGTTCTCTTTACCGCTCCAGTAAGTACCCGACTCCTCGTGCTATCCTCTACTTTTACAAGTGTCAGACCTGACTGAAAATGGAGTACTGCTGTCATATTTGTGCAGGAGCTTCCCAATCGTCACTTTCCAGTCTCGATAGAGTCCAAAAGCGTCTCCGTGTTCTTGTGGGTGATAAATTATTGTCTATCCTATCCACCTCTCACAAACGAGTTATAGCAAGCCTCTCACTGTCGCTAATTCTACGGAAAGTGCTCAGACGAACTACATTCCTTGTTCCGCCAGTTCTGGTCTTCATAGCTAGGACTCGCCATGTCACACTACACCACGCCACGCACATTATAGCAAACCACCTCCATTCCCTCTGTATTTCACTGGTGAGAAGTAAGTTCAACTCGAGCAGTTTCTTCCCACGAACTGCTGCTTTGTTGAACCGACCACCAAGAGAAAGTTTCCCCGATTATTACTAGGGTTAAACGTTATCTTCCCCATCTATCCGCATAAGTTGTACCTCTTGCTCTGTAACTCTTTACCTTGAGTGGCTCCCGGGCCTTGTACAGAATAAAACTCACTGTAAAAAAAAACTATATTCCAAGCAGAAAAATATTTGAATCTGAAGCATGTTGAAACTTTCTTTAAAATGATCCATTTTCTTCAGATTAGTCGATAATTTGGTTATAAGCCAAAAGGAAGGGCTCGTTATATTATATATATATATATATATATATATATATATATATATAAAAGAAAGAAAGAACAGTAAGATATATAATCCGGTGTTCTTATAGATATTTTTATTTTTACAAAATAGTGCTCAATGTAAATTTACAGAGCATTAATATTATAAATTAACTGATTTAAAATATGTTTTTTTCGTTACACAGTTCTAACCATGTTTCAAAACTGGAAGCTAAAAGCTTAGAATTTAAATTTGTAATTAAATTCCATTTCATCCTCAGGCAAATTTTGGAGTAACTTATTTTAAAATTTACTGGGTATTAAAGGCACGGCAAAAATCATAATTTACAGTTTCCAAGGATACAGAAAAATCTATTCATCCAGGCAAGGGGTGGTTGCGTGTTCATTTTATTAACTTTTGTTGTCTCAGTTTTTGAAACATGGTTAGAACTGTGTAGCGAGAAAACATATTTTAAATAAGTTAATTTACCATATATATATATATATATATATATATATATATATATATATATATATATATATGAACCAAATCCCGCCTTAAAACGATGCAAGCATTGTTATTGCGATGATTTTACTTTGCAAGTAATTCTTTAATATCACGACCTTGTGGTAGATTAGGAGGCGATAACTAACACAGTTGATAATATTTTTTTTTAATCGGAGTTCAGAGTTTCGGCATAAAGGTTGATATGCCGCTAAACAAAGGCAACCAACCAACATTATCGCTTTGGGGAAAGTAGAATCGTGTTAAAAAGATGGTATTTTTGAGTTGAGTGACCACGGCGTCTTCTGAAATTTCGTATTCATCTGTTTTCTGGAAATTCAACCTGGGATGTTTGGGAATTTACTCAAATCCACAGCGATTGGTCGAAATTTCTCTTTTTTTTATCACTCGTGATGTTATTACAACTACGTCCGCAACATTTTTAATCTCATTTTTAGAGTGTATTTTTGTTGACTTATCCGCGACATTTGCGCGCGCACACGCACGCACACACACATATATATGATTAATACAAATAAAATCGTCAGTTAGATGATTGACACCTCGATTCTGGAGTTTGGTCATCGTTCGCTTCACTCGTCGGGAGGTAGCAAGAAATGTCTGCGGCAATGATTTGTTTTAGGCTTGAATGCAATCTTCAGGCCTGAAAAATTTATTCAAATATAAAACAAATTTTTGCCGCTCGGTGTTGACCTTAGTGTCCACTTTTATATTTACATACGCAATATCTTTGATACTGAGCACTTTTACCCATAAATATAGCATAACTTAAAACTATATATATATATATGCAGTTATTTATATATATTATTAATATATTATATATGCGCGTTACTTATTGGAAAGCGCTCAATATCAGTGGTAGAGCTAATATATTTAGTTGGATTGGTGTGAGTTTGTGACCCTGGGTTACATGCTGTCTGCGATCGTCAGACAAACGTGAAACTCAGGGTCACAAACTCACATCAATACAACTAAATATATATATATATATATATATATATATATATATATATATATACAGATAGATATAAGCAGAATGAGACAGATATGAACAGAATGAGATAGATAGATAGATAGATAGATAGATAGATAGATAGATAGATAGATAGATAGATGAACAGGCTTAGATAGATAGATAGATAGATGAACAGGCTTATATAGATAGATAGATAGATGAACAGGCTTATATAGATAGATAGATAGATGAACAGGCTTAGATAGATAGATAGATAGATAGATGAACAGGCTTAGATAGATAGATAGATAGATAGATAGATAGATAGATAATTGAACAGGCTTAGATATATAGATAGATAGATAATTGAACGGGCTTAGATAGATAGATAGATAGATAGATAGTTGAACAGGCTTAGATATATAAATAGATAGATAGATAGATAGTTGAACAGGCATAGATATATAAATAGATAGATAGATAGATAGTTGAACAGGCTTAGATATATAAATAGATAGATAGATAGTTAGTTGAACAGGCTTAGATAGATAGATAGATAGATAGTTGAACAGGCTTAGATAGATAGATAGATATATATATAGATAGATGAACAGGCTTAGATAGATAGATAGATAGATAGATAGATAGATAGATAGATAGATGGCCAGGCTTAGATAGATAGATGGCCAGGCTTAGATAGATAGATAGATAGATAGATAGATAGATAGATAGATAGATGGCCAGGCTTAGATAGATAGATGGCCAGGCTTAGATAGATAGATAGATAGATAGATAGATAGATAGATGGCCAGGCTTAGATAGATAGATGGCCAGGCTTAGATAGATAGATAGATAGATAGATAGATAGATGACCAGGCTTAGATATATAGATAGATAGATAGATGACCAGGCTTAGATATATATATAGATAGATAGATAGATAGATAGACCAGGCTTAGATATATAGATAGATAGATAGATAGATAGACCAGGCTTAGATATATAGATAGATAGATAGATGACCAGGCTTAGATAGATAGATACTATGCCTTCTTGTTAAGGTAATTAGTGTTTTCCTAACACACGCACGCGCGTGCGCGCGCGCACACACACACACGTGAGTTGATTTTTTTTGTGAGACCTTTTTTTCATATGGGTCTGAAATCTTTGCAGATTAGATATTTTAGTTATTAAATTTTGAATCCTACTCCAGTGTCAGTGAATGCGAAATAGTAAAAATGATATGTAAACATTTTTTTTTGTTTTACTTTAATTTTTAATTTTATCTATTTTTATTATTATAAATTTTTCTGAGGCCGGCAGGTAGCAACAAATATTCATAGAAAGTTCTTTCCCATTTAAGGTTTTCTTCCAGGCAGATTGCTGAAGAAATTTAATCTCCTTTGCTGCTGCTTGCTGACATACGGTTTTTAAAAGAACCTCACTTTTTTTCCTACCAGGAAATTCCTGCCATGACAGTAGTATTGTCTGCTGGTATAGAAAAGGAATTCCATTCATTTTCTGTCTCAAGTTTAAAAGGAAGAAAAAGTTATACAAATTTAATTTTTCTGGTTTAAAATACCAAAATTAAATTCACTAAAAATTAGGTAGTTGTGTGTTATCTGTCGCCACTTTTAAAATTAATTTTTCGACTTTTTCACAAAAATACAAATGTGTAAAATTATACTATCCCAAAGAATAGAAATAAAAAATAAAAAAGAATTAATTAAAAATATACTATCCTAAAAATTCATTTGACAGTCGGAAAAAAAGAAAAAAACAATTAATTAAAATACATTAAATACCACATCTAACTTTATAAAAAGTCACCAATACACAAGTTAAAAAGTGGTGTTTTAGATCACCAAAATATTTCATTACTTTTTCAAACGTTAATTTTTAATGGATATTCATATTCATTACGGTGTTCAGTTTAGTTATTAAACAATATATTTATTTATTTTCGTCTAACCTTAACCCTGGCCTAAATATTCAAGAGATAATATTTAGGGAAAAATATGAGCTCAGGGTTCGAACCTGCATCCATCTGGGCAGAGGAAACCGTCGTTAGATCCGACGTGCTTTAACCGACTCGGCCACGAAGGACCTTTGCCGATCAAGCACTGCTGAATAATGCCTTTAAGTGAAATCCTTCTCGTTATAGACACACGAAATTTCATATCTGATCAGTTTCATATCCAAACGTAAACAAAGTAATTTTCTAAAGAAGTAATGGATTTTTTTAATTTATTAATCCAACGACTCATTATTATGCAAATGTTATTCTTAGCGGATACTCATATTTCAGTTTACTAATTAAACAATATATTTATTTTTGTCTACCGGGATATTCAAGAAATCTTGAAACTGTGTACCACCCACACCAGCCTGAGCGTCAACGATCCTGCCAGAGAGCGCATATTTGAAAAAATCTGGGTTGCAGATTCATATTTTGATAAGATTCAATAGCAGCACACTCGAGAATTTTCCGTTGAAATAAGTTACTTCCTCTTTTAATAAGTATGGCATTCTTTAGATTAAAGTTGTGATTGAATTTGTTTCTATGTATGACTAATGCATTTGATAAAGTGTTGTGTTTCTAGATGCTATAAACACAACAAACCAATACGATATACCATTTCTCGGTATAGTCCGCTAAATTTTTGTTCTTTCTTGTCTTGAAATCAGAACACTACAATCAATTGACTGTATCCCTTTTCTGTGTGAATTATAGTGGGTTATCAGTTATAGTGAAGTGTATGAGTGTTGAAACAGATTAGTTTGATTTGGCCTTGTTAGTTAGATAGCCCCCCCCCCATAAGAGGGGTATAAAACAAGAAAATCAAATTATAAAGTGAAACAACAAATTTATATACATACAAATCAATTAAGATCTCTACAAATAAAATTAATGTATTTTGATTGATACAAGGTCGTCAAACTGTTCATATTAGTCCTTGCAAGAATGAGTTCATGTATACATAGGCAGGAACATATATATGTATGTATGTATGTATGTATGTATGTATGTATGTATCAGCGTTATTGTAGGGTAGGAATGTCTTTGAAGTAATCACTCAGTCTTAAAATGTTCCATTCGTTTATCAAGTATAAAAGAGGTGAGGGAGAAGGGTAGAAATAATAATAATGATCGCTTGACGTTTGTCAAGGGACGTGCTAATACGCTCATCTTCTTCTCTCTGGTGACAGTCAAACTTGCCCATCTTTTATTTTGTTTGTGGAGTTTGAAAAGGCCATTTGTGAATTCACTTCCTGATATGATTTGGGCCTTTCAATTGGCCGACAAACACACTTCGCGTCGGCTCGCGAAAAGGACTGTAAAAGAATTTTGTTTCTGAGAATTGAAGATTATTTGAATTTTGTTTTTAAATGTTTCCTAGTTTTCTATTAGCCAAAAAACATTTCGCATCAAGGTGTGAAATTTCACAAGTTTTGCTTCGGATTCACTTTTGCGTGTGTGTTAAGCAAAGTTTGTAATTTTGAGTCCTTTCAATTTCTAACAAAATCAATGAGTCAGTGCTTAGCATTTGAATTTTATATCTAGGTCTTGTTTTGTTCACTACAGAATACCATTCTTACTTTGTGAATCTTTAGCCTTAGCCTACTTTTGACACACGCACACACACACACACACACATATATATATATATATATATATATATATATATATGGCCTGACGATTGCATATAGCATGAAACAGACTGTCGCCTCTAAGTGTTGACTTCTATGTTCACTTTTATATTCACACGCTCTATCTCTGATATTGAGCACTTTATCCCATAAATATAGCACACCTTAAGACTATATTTCTTTATATATATATATATATATATATATTGTTTGCTTTGTATTATTTTGCCCTGCTCTTTTTTCTTCCTTTTCTTATTGTTTATTGGAAACTTTATCAGTTACTTTTGTTGGCCATTTTTACAAATTACATTTCAAAATGGCCTACTACTCTACAAATTAATTTGGGAATTAATTTATTATTAATATTATTATTAGGATTGTTTTTATTACAGAGGAAAATATTTCTATTTGCAAGTCAAAAATTTTCATAAATTCTCTTTTGATCTTCAGAATTAAATGGGATTTTAGCAGTGTTTGTTCAATTTAAAATCAATGTTTCAATGTATTCTTGCTTTGATGTTTTCAGCTTTATCATGCCATTCAAACCAGTTGAACAGGCCAAGTGCCCCAAATGCAGCAGGTCAGTCTATGCTGCTGAAGAGAGACTTGCTGGTGGATACAAATTCCATAAATCATGTTTTAAATGCGGTAAGTAAAACCATAAGAAAATAATTAAATTTTCACATTTAAACATTTTATTTACAAGTGAAAATATTGATCACTCCCCAAATATAAGAAATATCAGCAAACATAAAACTTTGTGCCCGCAATAAGACGGAAAGTCAAAAGGCCAGTTTTTCCCTTGACACCACTATTATTTTAACTACCTTCAATCCTCTGCAATGTTTATTGTTTTTAAAAACGATGCTTATAACTTTGATAAAACATAAACATATGAAAGTGAATTCATACGTTTTCATTGTTCTTGAGAATTGACAACAAAAATAATAATTAGAGTCTTTATTTACACTATTTATTTATTATTGGAATGATTGACAAAACATTAGCTAATTGATTCAAACTTTATAAAATAGTAAATAATAAAGATTTCCTTATTGTTGGTTTACATATTTTAATAATTTAGTAAATGTTTATAAATTTATGAATAAAAAAATTGTTTTCATATTTAATTCTTTATAAATTGGTAAATGATAAATATTGCATTGCATTAATTCTAATTATATTAGTTCTTAGAATGTTATAAATATAAAATTATTCTTGTAATGTTTGACACATCAGATTTTATTCGGGCCAATTTTGACTCAATTTTTATTTAAAGAGTACGTGTTAGTAATTTTCTTAAAAGATGTTTTTTAAACACTCTCTCAAAAGAAAGTGTAACAAACTTAGTCTATTGTATTATTTTTTTTTTATTTACCCTTTAATTATTTTTATATAATTTTACATTTCTTTTTTATTATATAAATTTTTATACTTTCTAAACCAGTAGACATTAATATTAATAGTAATAATATGTAGTGTAAAATATTATGTTTCGGTTTTTATTGGATATACCAAGCATGTTAAGTGTTTGATGACTAACAATCAATTTATTACCAGAAGAAAATTTTAGTTACGTGCATGATTGGAAAGTTTTTAATAAGATCCAGGGCGTAATATATGTGATTCTGTCTGAAGAAAAAACATTGAGCACTGTATTAAAAAATCAACATTAATCTAGATTTGGCAGAATTATAATTCATTTAAATGAGTAATAGTTTATACTGTGGAGTAATGGATAGCGGCTCAGATTGAGGATTTGGAGAGCAGAGTTCAAATTCCAGTCGAATCCATTACATTCACTTACGTGCTAATACTCTTGGGAAAGGTGTGAATCCTCTTCTTCTCCCCTCATCTATGGATAAATAGCAGAAGAGACTGGGTTCTATAGATTTGGATGGCAACTGGTCTACCACAGAAAGAAATGGCAACCTACTGCAGGAAAGTAATTAGTCATGTATCGAAAGATACGTGATTGCCTAAGCGTGTATCATGTATGGCACATAACTGACTGACCAAAATCTCTCAGTCAGTTATATGCCATCTTTCTGTGGTAGACCAGTTGCCATCTAAAGCTATAGAACTCGGTCTGTCTTGCTATGTCTCAACAGAAAGGGTTTTATGGTTTTAACTGGTTGTTGTCAGATTTATAGGGAAGGGTGCTCAGTATTTGTAGATATTTGAACATAACAATGAACACTGCATGGTGACTGACAGTTTCACATCTTAAGTGATCATCAGGTCATGATTATTCTTCTTTTTCTATTTTACTTAATGAAAGGAATTTTATTTTTATTACAGATCTGTGCAACAAAATGTTGGAGAGTACAAATGTAGCTGAACATGAAAGTAAGCTTTATTGCAAACAATGTCATGGTCGCAAATATGGACCCAAGGGATATGGCTTTGGTGGGGGTGCAGGAGCTCTGAGCATGGACACTGGTGCCCAATTTGGAAATAAAGAGAGTGAAATGTCGTAAGTAACCTAACTTTAAAATAAATCGTTTCATTTTAGAAACAAGAAAATAATTAAAGAAAATGAAGTGAGTGCCTTTTCTATATCATTTTTAAGTCGTTAGTAAACTTAAAAATTTAGGAAAATATACTCCGTAATGTTTTATTAAATTTTACAAATTTTGGCTTTAAATTTAATATTGTTATCACTCTTTTTTTTCTGATATCCACTGTGTTTACACAAATCTGCACATTTATACACTAATAAAAAAAATCAAAATTATTTTTAAAGTATTGGTGTTTGATGATTTGTATTAAACTTTTCCATTTTTGATTAGTAAATATAGTTTTCACTTAATTAAATCATCTAAAAGGCTGAAATTAATACAGAATTTTAAAAAATTTAAACCTTTATAAATTTTTCTAATTAGAATTTAAAAAAATGAAAATAATTCTTGTAAAAACTCATTATTCATTGAAAAAATTGTTTTCTTGAAATAATAGTGTCCTTAATATATTTTATATATAGAAGCAATTACAAGCTTTTCGAATTGAATAATTTCATAGTTTTGTTGCATTTTTTATATTATGATTCAGAGATTTTCGGTAAATGGTGTTTCTGTTTGGCAAAAACAAAATGATGATTTAAATTCTCCAAGGAGTCCTGATTTTAACTAATATAAATATGAAGAGGCTGAAATTTTAATTTCTGGAAATTTCATTAAGTAAGGTGTGTGTGTGAGGGAGGGGGGTAGGAGTAACAAATGTAAAAAATATTTTTTTACCAAGATTTTCTAAAAAGTAAAATTTCAAAAATAATTATATTGCATATGATCCATTATTGTACATAATTAGGTCAAAACAAAATTTGTATTTTATATGAATACTACATTATGAAAAATGAGTAGTAGAGTGTGTGGGAGTGTATCATAGATTCGGTGGGGGGGGGGGACTCACAAGAGCCATGCACTGAACCTGCTGAATTAAATTCCTATTTGATTCTGTTGTTCCCTTCATAGGAAAGAAATGCCATTTCCAATATAATTACATACCCACATAAATAACTTATTAAAATATGCCCAAACTTTATTTTCTACTCAATAACAGACAATATTACAAATATGCCAAAAAAGATTCCACAATACATACTGTTTACATCAAAGTGTCTATTGGTTAGAAATTAACATCACTGTGAAATATTTGACCAATCAGAGAATAACAAAACTCAATTTTTCTTGTGCCTACTTTTGTGAAAATTTTTTTTATAAAAACTCAGATTTTGACTTTCAGAGAGCAGACATGTGACTGACTCCAAGCCATTCAAACACAAGAGAAGACATGGCTACATAGCTTTTTCTTACCCCCTTCCCCTGATACATGCTGAAAGAAATCTGTCAGTGACTTCAAATGAATCATCAACAACAACAGCAGAGATGGTTAGTGAATCATTACTGACAATCATGTGTTGGCAACTTCAAATGAATCACCTCCAACAACAGCAGGGGCAGTCAGTGAATCTTTGCTGATGATAAAAGTCTTTTCTCAACCACATATTTTTTCTGTGGACCATTTAAAAATATTCTCTAAACTTCAGATTTAACCCTAACCCATTTAGGTACTGACCAGGCTCAACATTAACTTCAGTGATTGTACAAGAACTAGTCTTTCAACTTGATATGGCTGTAAGCCATAAAACATGCACATCAAACCTTACATCACTTTGTATTCCCCAGTGTTCACCTATCTAGATATTGAATAGGTTCAACAGCTTGACGTTGCTCAAGTTTGGTGATAGTATAGGAATATTGTTGTTCTATTTGTATTAGAAAAAGAAGCTTCATTGACATTTCCAAAAGTTTGCTAAAAATAGAAAATAAATACAAAATAAAGAGTCTTTATCCCTAAAGCGGAAAAAAGGAGTCATCCTTTTTTTATTGCTGTTGTAGTTGTATTAGAAAAAGAAGATGGTTCATTACTAGTTTTTTTTTTTTTATTATTTCTACTAATAAATCCAATGAATTTTCTGTTTTCTTTTACTTTCTTTTTCTTATTGATTAACCAATGTTCTCCCTTTTATAGAAACAAACCAACTAGTGGATCTAGTGGCGATGCTGGAACTGGTCCTAAATGTCCTCGATGTGGAAAGACAGTCTTTGATGCTGAACGGGCCATTGGATCGACTGTAGTAAGTGATTATTTTCAACAGAATCTTTTTGTTACCATGAAAAAGAATAGATGTATTGGCAGAACATTTTATCCAATTCTAGAACATGATTTTCAGCCTTTTCAAATGAGATTCAACTGCTATTGACAAAATAAATAAACACCAGATTAACTATTACAGTAAAATGTGGCATACAAGTCAACCTTTAGCCCCAAATTATAAATTAGGCCTATACCTAACATATAGGTCAATCTCCAAACATATGGTAGGCTACAAGTGGCCCAAAACTTAGGCCTACTGGCAAATGAAATTAGGCTACAGTATGATAGCTTGTGCCAAAATGACACTTACCTGTATATTTAGACATTAACTTTCATGGCAATTGCTTTGAGGAGCTGCATTCGCTGGTTCCCAGACTTCATGAGTTCAAGCGCCGTATGAGGCTGGCATCGCACTCTCACCCTTTCACTGTCGAAACTCCTAAATGTAGCCGTCTCTTCTACTCCAATAGCTTCATGCCCCACACCTCTCGCCTGTGGAACTCCCTTCCCTATTCCAGTTTCCCTGAGAGCTATATTCTCCATCTATTCAAATGTAATGTCAATTGACATCTCCAGTTGCCTTGATCTATCCACTACCCTTCTCCTCATCCTTTCTTCTATCACTCCTATCTGATCTTGCTCCAAATTTTCTGTAACCCCTTGCGTCCTAGTGGCTTTTCATCTTGCTTGGGGTGAAACGCTTAAAAAAAAACAAAAAAAACTGTAATATCTTTTTATATCCATTGTACAGTAAACGACCTACAGCACACATCAGTAGGTACCAAACATTTAAAATTTGTCAGGTCTATTGATAAATACATTAAAGTTGACATCAACTCCTATAAAATGTTAATACCATAGATTATCATCATATCAGGTAGTTTTTTAATAGTACTGCTATATATCGTATCTTATTGTAAAACACACTCACTCACTCATTAGTGATGTAAACCATCAATCAGTGATGCTACCACACCTGCAAAACTGTGAGTCCGTTTCACTATCGACACTCGGACTATCATCCTTTTAATGAGCCCCTATTACCATAGACAGACCAACAAGGCAGTTACTGCTACAACTAGTGTATTAGATGTTGGACATGAGGTGTACTAAAGCATCAACAGATTACTGAATTTGTCTTACTATTTTATTATTTTATATTAATTTCTGTGTTAATATGACAAATATATTTTAGTGGGATATATTTGTGGCATCTTCTTGGAGGTATGGTAAGTAGTGGACAGTAATTGTTACAACTTGGTGGTAAAGCTTTGTATTTTATACCTGCCACATTCCATCACCACCAATCAGACCCTGAACTACCGCCAGTCATGATGAATGAATGTCACTTTGGGAAGACACTGTACCTTGAGAAACTATTGGGCCTCAAAATCCCACTTGACCCCAAGTGGAACTTGTACATATGATCCATTGCTAAAGATGCAGGTAAAATGTCTGCTCCCCATACCGCTGTAGGAAGTACCTGACTCCTGATGTTATCCTCTACTTTTACAAGAGCCAGATCAAATGGAAAATGGAGTACTGTTGTCATATTTGGGTCGGAGATGTCCAGTTCACACTTTTGTTTCAATAGAATTCAAAAGCATCTCCGAGCCCTTGTGGGTGACAAATTATTTGATACACTCCAACCTCTTTCTTACAGGTGGAATGCAGTGAGTCTCTCACTGCTCAATTGCTACTTTCATAGTTAGAACCTTCACGGCTAGGACCTACCGTGCCACTTACATTGTAGCAAGCCACCCACATTACCTACATATTCCATTAGTAAAAAGTAAGTTCCACTCAATTTCTTCCCATGAACTATGTCTCTGTGGAATCAACTCCCAAGAGGATGTTTCCTTGATCACTACAATTTTAACCTGTTCAAGTCTAGAATTAACTATTATCTTCCACTTCTATCCATATAAACTACCCCTTGACACAAGTAGCCTCCATAAGGCCTGCTACAGAGTGAACCTTACTGTAAAAAATATATGTCAACCTCTAGTTTCAGAAAGATATATTTAGGCTTGACAACTTGACTTGTATGTCGTAATTTATGGTAAAAATTATTTTCAAATCAGATCTACCAAGATGTTGCATTAAATAGTAGGCTTCAGTTGTCAAGTAAACGACTAACAGCTGAGCAGTACCTCTCTCAGTTGCTAGTCATGGTACAAAGGACTTGTCTGACTGTTTTTTATCAAAGCTAACTAATTTGTCTACTATGTGGCATGTCCCTTCAGAACGTGGGTGATCATGGCTTTCCACAACTTCCTATCCTTTTTAAGCTCTTATTAAGGTTTATCTTTTTGCCATTCATTTCAGTATCTGTTCTGCTATGCATATACACATATGTTGTATTAAAGTTGTTAATGTCTGTGGGATTTAAAATTTAGCCTATTTAGTCCAAGTTGATCTCTGTTATTCTCACTATTAGATTGTATATCACATTGGTGCTGCTATTGTGGGGATCGGTGATATATGTATCAGCCTTGTTTTAGGTTTATTTTCATGAATTGTGAAATCAGTTCCTGGTTGGTCAAAATTGATTATTATACAAAAACTAAAACCAAATCAATACTTTGATGGGAACAGCTCATCTTTTTATGTTGCTTGTCTGGAATGATCTCAAAATGAGTTTGCAGATTTTTTTCTAGAATCATTAAATTAGGGCCTTTTCCTTTTCTTGAATTAATTATGATTATTATGAAACAAAAATGGCTTTATTTGTGTGATATTATGTTAATGTCTGATAAAAATATGAGAATAAATATTTCATACACAACACAGATGTTTATTCATTTCTGGATGCTGTCAAATTAAAGTCAGCTATGGAGAGCTTGTGATTTGGGATCTTTCTTCAAATGTTCAATGTTCTTTTTGCATGGATATGAAGTGACTCTACCTTCCCCTTTGTGGTTTGGGTGTTTATATAACTTTCTGTTTGCCTTTTGTGTGTATATCCTAAGTTCAGCTGAGTTCACTCCCTTGTTTAAGTTGGTGCACACCCCAACATCATTTGAGGCCTGATTCTGCACTTGGTAGCATTGAGATCACCTTCTATGTCAATCCTCAGAGGCATCTAGCTCTTTTGACATTCTGATAAGACATCAAGTACAAACTTTGGAATCTTTTAGGATGAGCTCAGTATATATTGGGGTCACCACAGATCAACTTTTTTTAAAAGATTCCTGATGGGTGTTAAATTTTATTCAGGCCTTTAGTATTTCTTGCAGGAATCACATACAATATTTGTACTTGATAAATTAAAAAAAAATCTTTTCTAAAGGCTTGAGGCTTAGGACTGATTTCAATTCAATAGGAATTACTAAAAAATACAACTTGATTTAATTAGAAGAAAGATGTTTTCATTTGTTTTTCTTTTTCAGCCCTGGCACAAAGCCTGCTTCAGGTGTAAACAATGTAGTAAGGCTTTGGATTCTACAAACCAAAATGCCCATGAAGGAGAAATTTATTGCAAAAGTAAGTTAAGATGATTTAAAATGGACATTCTTTATTTTGGCTGCAGATCAACATGCAATGAATTTCAGTAGAATTATAAATAATGACAATTTTTTAATAACTGCTACAATATATAATACATGATTTAAAAGGTTCATAATTATATATAATTGCTGATATCTTCTGATGAGTGGACAGAATGATTACAAAATGGTTTATCTACAAAACGTCAGGGTGCTGAATATAGCATCAATCAGCTCAGTGACAAATTTTTTGTTTGGATTAATCCCATATATATATATATATATATATATATATATATACTGGTCACTGGTGCATTATGGATAGGCCTATTGTATTATCCTAATGGTTATTTGGGTAGGAAGTAATGGTTATGTTTTGAATTATCCTAGAGGCTACTGTGTGGAAATAATTGTGGATCCAAATGCAGTTTTATGGGTATTTTATAGTCTTGTTTGTTACTTATATGTAAATTATATATATATATATATATATATATATATATATATATATATAAAATTATAGTTGTTCCAACGAGAGGAAAATGTATATTTTAAAAAACAGAGAAACCGCAAATGTTTTGGGATTTGTTTTAGTATATATATATATATATATATATATATATTCTTCATATTTCTGCTATAATATGAAGAATATTTTCATATTTCTGCAGAAATATGAAGAATAAATATAATATATATTTATATACTAAACAAATCCACATTATAACCAAAAACGTTTATGGTTTCTCTTTTTTTAATATATATATATATATATATATATATGTATGTATAATATCAAAAAGGAAAAAACTTAATACATCATCGAAGAATTTGGTAATAAATTTATACATACACATAAATCAAAGCATATAACTTTCAATAAATAATGCAAAATATATGACTGCAAAATAAACACAAAATAAAATTCTATTTATAAGATAATTTAAATCTTTAATTATGTAAATTCCCAGGAAAGTTTTTCGAGGTCAAGTAATTTAGACATTTACTTCCTTTTCTCTTGTGATTTAATTTTAAAATAATTTTTAATTGTCTGAATAAATTTAAACCATTTTGTAATTTCAGTCTGATGAGGCAGATATTAAAAACTTATCTGGCGAAATGAATTTATTACCGAATTCTTCAATGATGTATTAAGTTTGTTCCTTTTTGATGTCTATCATATTGCTCTCTATATAAATACATTGAGCTCTCTTTATGGATCTATCTTTTTAATATTTTATACTAAAAACACCTACTTGGATTATACTAGATTTATTTATTAAACAGTATATTTATTTCTTTTCACCTACCGGCCTGAATATTCAAAAAATCTTATTAAAGAAAAATATGCACCCTAATAACTGGTTATCATTTTGTATTTTTCTCTTTTGATATTTTTTATAATTTTTTTATTTAACACTTTATGGTAAATAATTTTTTCTTTACACTTCATCCCCCCTGGATTTAATAAAAGTCTAAATATGTAAGAAAATTTGGGAAACTCTTGTTTTTACATGTTTCATTGTTTCTTGACCAAATCTACATTGGCAAGACAGAATGTTATTCTTGGTAACCAAATAAGAACTGAGTTTTTTTTTGTTTTTTTGAGATTAGATTTTAATTATATCAACATATATTAAATGTTAATATGTACTTCTTAAAGTGTCTGTTTTTACAGCTAAAATAACATTTTGTACCTTACCATAAATTATTCTAAAGTTTATTTTATTTTTTAAACTTTTCATTTCAGCTTGTTATGGCAAGAACTTTGGTCCAAGTGGCTATGGATTTGGTAGTGGAGCAGGAACTCTTAGCAGTGACAAGTAAAACAATGTCACAAACATCAAGTGGCAGTCATTCCTCCCTCCCAAGTGGTCGCCATCCCTTGATGTCCGTTTATTTTTCAGAGTACCCTAAGGCTATGTTCTATTAACTTGAAAAAATAAATGTCATTTGAAATATGAAAAAAAAGTAGATGGAAAAAGCCCAAAAATTAAAAAATTCAACATCCATTTTCCTTTTTCATATGTATTTGCTTCTAAATACTGCCATTTTGATATTAAAGCTAAATTATATTCAATTTAAGCTTCTTTTTTTTTTTGAATTGGTTCAATAACTTTAAATAAGCCTTTATGATAGGACACAGCACACTGACATTTATGTAATGGATACTAAGCTATCACAGACCCGGCTGTATTGATGCCCCTATGCAAATTATTGAACTGGCCTTTATGAATACTAGCTGGTGTATACTGACTTATTCACATTTCTAACTAGTTCTACCTATATTTGTAGTTATTGTTGATTGTTGATGTTAGCACAAGGTTTGTTAAAATGTCTGCTAGTCTAAAAACTGTCATCCAGTAGGTGTTAATCAATATGTTGCCTTTTCTTCCTAACCAATGTTAAGATCAATCCATAAGAACATTCCGTTTTCTCATCATATTAGTTAAATTACATTGACTGTATATAATGATTGATTGATCAATTGGTTTTAAAAACATGTCAACTTGTCTGGGGTTATTTTATGTGAAGAGGTAAATTACGAGGGATGGTCAAATTTATAATGTTTTTTTCAATGAATTTCCTTGATTTTGACAGTAAGTTGCCTGCAATTGTTTGTTGCTAAATGGATTGGCAATCAACTGATTATATAGACAGAACTAATTAGAAGTTGGAAATGAGAATAAGTCAACATGTGCTGGCTAGGATTTGTAAAAGGAAGTCCAAGAATTTGCATATGTGCATCAATACATCTGTCTGTGATAGTTGAACACACCTGTTACATAAATGTCATTTTGAATAAGTTATTTATCTAATTTTAATTACATTTCTGTACAAGATCTGCTTGATATATAAAGATCAAAAGATAATTTTGTAAAAGCAGAAAATTTGGTCTCAAGTGAAATTCGGAAATTTTGCACTGAAGACTTCAGTTTGAATAAATTAAGTAGCTTATTCCATTTTCAGCTTTAGATAATATTCGTAAGTTTACCTTGAAGCTATTTTGTGTTGAATAAAAAATTGATGCAGAATTCTGAATACGAAAAACAGAGAAAAACTATTTTCTTTTGCAATTGTATTTTTTTTAGGATGAAGTGTAAAAAATAAGTTGAAAATGAAAAACTGAAGTCAAATTGAACACTACATTCGCCTCTGCTGATTCTCAAGATTCTCTCAGTCTAAGAATTTCCTCAAATCATATGGTTTCTATTGACATGTCATATTCAAGCCAAAGACACTGCAGGTTTGGTAAACTGAAGTATCTTGGTTTGGTGTCTTTCAAATGTTTGGGAGTTGATACCAAATTCTTCAAAGATGAATCAACAAAGATTTTTACATCAGGTTTCCCATGAATCACTTTACTGCAAAACAATCAGTCTTGTATTGAGATTTGTCAAACCGCATGCACATGCACAAGTACACACACTCACACACACGCCTGATAAAGTTCAAGAGGAATTTTGGATCAGAAGTGATCTTAGGGAAACTAAATGTACAATGCTAACCAAGAGAAGAAGAGAAAAAATATATTTAACTTCTTAAAAAACAGAAATCTTGAAAAAATTACCTTTAACACACTTTGAAATGTCTTAATGCTGTTTAATGTTTTGATGATTTTACAAGGAAAAAAATGTTTAACTCTAGTTTTTTCTTTCTTTCTTTTTCAAGAACCTATTTTGTTTGTTATGGTTTCCAAGTAATTACTTTGACAGCGATTTCAGCGGCTTTCACTACTGCAGGAACTAGGTCAAAAGTTAGTCTTTCAATCTGGAATTTAAAAGAAAACAGAAACTTTGATTCAAATGACCATTGGTTGGAAAGAAGAAAAAAAAAACAAAATAAATTTCTAAGTGGAAATGCAAAGACAAGCAATCCTATTATAATTGTGTGTGTTCCTCCCTTTGTTAATTCGCACAACCATTAGCCATTACCGCATAAATAATGAACTATTCCATTTTGATTATGTGAAAAGAGGAAAAAAGATACTACTTGGTTTCAGTGAGAAAATGAAAGAAAGAAAGAAAGAAGGGTCGATAGAAGTGGAGAGAGAGAATCTGATTCAGCTGATAAGATCAGATACTACATTTTGATCAAACACACAATACTGAACAATGAAAACTGAATAAAACAGTCACCAAAAATCCATTTACAATAAATAAAATAACAATGTCTGCTGAATTATTTTTACATTATTATTAAAAGAAATGTTCATAAAACGGGGATTTGGCTAGTATTTATTATTTACATGAGGACAATAGTCCGCATGTAAATAATGATAATTCCTCATCCCAGAAATTCAGACGTATTTACATGTCAATAAATAAGATTAACCCATCAGAGTAAAGCTAGATAAGAGTTCCCAAACATTTTTAACTATCATCCCCTTTGGAGAATCACTAACCTATTATCAAATACTTATTTTTAATTATTAAAAAGGTATGTAGTTAATAGGTAATATAACTACATAAAAATATATGCAATAAGTCTAAGTTATCATTACGATATTTAATGAACCAACTTTTTGCTTTGCTCTTAACTTTTTTGTAGGATGCCATCGGGGGGTTGATAATCTTTGAGAAGAGCACTGATATTTGGCTTTAAATTATTAAGTTTTTAATCTCAGTTAATTAAACACTTTTATGTTCCTTTGCTTTGTGAGAAGTGAATAAATATGGCTAAAAACAGCCTCAATCAAACAGGAACTTGAAATGGCAAATAAAAATGGGTTCACCTTTGCACAAAGTTTGAGATACTTTTTGATAGTATTTACATTAATCCAGAGTTTTATACAAGACCAATGATTTAGCTTAGGACTCATGAACAGTTCAACAAGTTTATCTTGCAAGTTAGATTCATTTTCCAGTTCTGAATTTAATATTGTAACAGTCCAGTTTGATATGTGCATTTTATCCAAGTTCTCAAAGTACATGCCAAAGTCTTCAATTGACATTATAAAGTACTTTGTGTAGATATCCAAGTCACTATCAGGAATCATGTGGTTTTCATATTCTTGCTGCAAGTTGGAAAGTTAATGAAGTGCGTGCCTCATATTAATGATGATTTAAAATGGTCTTTTTTTTTCTAAAGTTGAAGCATAACAAAATTGTTTGAGCTTGAACAATTCCTACGTCATTATCCTGCATACAGGCTTGGGCATCATTAAATTTAGAATATAGATTTGTTAATTAGAAATATGGTTCCTATTTTTTTCAAATCATCAGATAGAAGTGAATCCACGCTTACAAAAAAATAGTTGTGTCATACAGACACCTCTTGGCAGCCATTTTATTTCCAAATGTAGCAGTAATTAATTTAATTTTTCATCATTTTTTCATGCAGCTTCCCAGACAGTCACAAATTAAGTGGATGTTCTTTAGTTTTATTTATTGATCAGATACACATTTATAGAGTATCATCCAATTTGTCAGTGAATTTTGTTTTTGCTACAAGATGGTGTCTGTGCAATACACAATGAATAGAACACACATGTTTTCCTTAAAGATGGTAACAAATCTTCTGTAACAGCAAACCACTGAAGGTATCCCATTAGTGTCTGCCCCAGTTAAATCACAAAGTGAAATATTTCATCAAGCATTCAAAAATCATCCTCTCTTTTGTGTTACTTTTAAAATAATCTGTGAATAAAAACTCATCAATAATTTGATTTGAGGAGATTTTAAAACCACCTCACATAAGCTATGAGAAATTTTGAACTACCAAAAATTGTTTCATTAAGTTGAATGGAAAACTTACAATGTTTAAATTCAGATAAAAAAAAAAGTGCAAACATGAACCTTCATACCTGAAAAAAAAAAATGGACTGTCAAAAGGATGTTTTTTCCTTGACACCACTATTATTTTAACTACCTTCACTCCTTAGCAATGTTTATTGTTTTAAAAAGCAATGATTACAATTGTATTAACATATGATGAAAGTGAATTCACACATTTTTGTTTGGTCTTCAGAATTTACAACAAAACTATTAAACACTTTATTTATTAGATTGTCTATTTACAAGAATAAGTTTCTGTTTACAACATTCTAAAAACTAATACAATTAAAACTAATGCAATGTAATATTTATCAAAAGCATAAAGAAATAAATATGAAAACAATTTTTTATTCATAAATTTATAAACCTTTACTAAATTATTAAAATATGTGAACCAACTCTAAAGGAATCCTTATTATTTACTATTTCATAAAGTTCGACTCTATTGACAATTAGCCAATGTTTTGCTAATAAATAATATAAAAAATAGCGGAAATAAACAATCTAATAAATAAATAGTATTTATTCTTGTTCTAAAGAACAAAGAAAATGTATAAATTCACTTTCATGTTTAGGTTTTATTGCAATTGTAATCACTGCTTTTTAAAACAATAAATATTGCCAAGGTATAAAAGTAGTTAAAATAATTATTTTGATACTCATTTTTTACAGGTCCGAGTTTGCCTAAAAAGTTTTTTTCTACATTTTCAGTCATCCCATTAAAACATTTCTATAATGTATTTACACTTAAAGATAAACAATTCTAAACAAAACTCTTGTTTTGAAAAGTGATGAGAACATGTTTTTTAGTTTCATTAATTTTGAAATCTTTCTTTTTAATAAATTTTATCTGATTTATAAAATGAATAATGATAATTGTGTAATGCATATAATTTTTATGAAGTTCATCTTTTAAAAAGTTCTATTCCAATGACCAAAAAGTGTTGCTGATGATAAAAGTCTTCTGACAAAATAGGAAATCAATTCATAAGTGCTATTTTTCAAAATACTGAAAAATGTGTTTTGCTTCAACACACAAAATTGTTTTATGAAGTAAATGGTCAATTCCATTATTTTTAATGGATTTTATTATTTCTTTTTATCTATTTTGATAAGAACTATTTTTATTAGATCTTTATCTACACTGATATTTGTAGGCACAGTATTTTTAAAACAGCGAATCCAGAATATACAATATGTAAAAAAATAATGTTTTTCGAGACATTTTGTTATAGTATAAGCTTGCATCATTTTCTCTTGGCCAGTTTATCCTTTACTTGAAATGCTTCGTACAAGACCATATATCAAGAACATTGTGTGATTGAACCCACTTCCAACTTGTTAAATTCTCTCTCCCTAAAAATATTCTATGTAAATTCCATTATAGTTTATGTAATATGGTGTATTTCCTGTCATATCACATAGACCTATAATTCATCTGACCTCATCAGGGGATTTTATATCAGAGATATTTAGGCGTTAGACTACCAATAAATCACATCATAAATAATATTTTAAAAACTTACTTTCTTCACGTAACTTAATAATGTGCGCCGTCCTTCAGGAGCTTCAGATAAAGAAGTCAATACCTGAAAAAAAAAAAAGAAAAATAGGAAGAAATCATCAATATTACACTGATGTGCCAAAAGTCATATGATTGCAGTATGTAAAGGTAATGGTAGCTAGCACCACATACCTTGAATTTTGAAATTGTGGGAATATTTGATATCCCTCAATCTGCAGTGTTATGTATGCACTGGGAATACTTGATAGAAGGCATTACTGCAAACTATGAATAGTGCCATGATCAGAGAGGTCTGGTTAGAATTTTCTGCAATAAGAGACAAGTGATATTGGCTCAAATCACATCCACATACAATATGGGAGATACCAGATGCACATCTAACAGGTTAGTTCAATGTTTCTTTAGATTCCATGGGATATAAGAACAGAAGCCCCACCAAGATGCCCTTATTAACACAATGAGAGTGAACACTGTGCCTCACTTGACCTGTGACATTCCTAATTCAAATCTTGATGGATGCTAATGTGGTCATGGTACAATGAGTTGCAGTTGATGTTAGAGTCCCAGTGCAGAGGCTTTATATAGCAATTGTCAGCAAGGCACTATGCAAACTAGTGGTGGTCTATAATGCTTTGAGGATGTATTCATATTGCATGGGTTTGGTTTACTGGTTCACATAAACATGTCAATTACTGGTGACCACAATGTGACCATTTGCCCCTATTTATGAACATCATCTACCTCAACAATGATGGTATTATAATGTACCATTTAATCGGGTATAAGGTGCATAGAATTGGTTTGAGGAGCAATTTGGAGACTCCTAACAAATGTTGTGTCCACCACAGTTACCTGATATTAGTCCAGTTGAGTATTTATAGGATGTGATGGGGGAGGTCTATTTGCCCACAAGATATTGTGCCTACATTAACTATTAACTATCAAGATGATGTGGTCACTTGTAAAAATGAAGCCAAAATGAATTGCTTCTACATCATACTAGACATCTATCCCATGACTATTGGCACATCACTATAAATAGGAAGGAATGGATATTTTGTAAGTTTGATTTGCCAGCTAAATTCTTGCACAGATTTCCATTCATCAAACCAATTTAATTATTGACTTTTTCAGTCAAACTTATTTGTGGATACAAGTCAGAGATTTTACAGTATCAAAATCAGGATTGATTTGTATTTTACAGTTTATCAAACCTTTGTGGGTTATTTAAAACTCAAACACATTTTACAAGAATTTTCTTTTTAATATAATAACGATGATTTTCCCCAGATACAAGTCCTATTATTTAACCCATAGCTAGGGAGAAGAGATGCATTCATACCTTTTCACAAAGGTATCTGTGCATAAGTATAAAAATCAGGGAAGTGAGGAATTAGGCATTTAAATTAGCACCATTGACTGATTAAGTAACAGTAAAATAAACGAAAACCAATAAAAAATAAATGTTTCTTTTGTTTTAAATAAAAAGATGAATTCTATAAAAAATAGTTTTAAATGTTTTACCAATGATTCTTTCAAGCATTGTAAAAACATTTATCAAACTGTTATATTTATTGCAACAAAGTACGGTAATTCACAAGTTATTTAACAGCACCACTGGCAGATGAAATTTTCAAAAGACAACATGACTAAATTATCATCCTGATTATGAGAGAATACTAAATCTAATTTCTTAGTTGTCATTCATCAAATTACAAAACTCTTTTTCCCAGTTAGTTTCATCTTTAAAAGTTTTTGTTTTTAGAATTGTGTAAGAAAGAGAAAATCACTCACTTTTAAAGAATTTAATCTAACTTCACTGACTTCATCACTGACAAGGTCTACAAGTCGATCAATAGCTGACAAAGCAGCATATTTGCCTTCTGTGGTAATTGCGATCCTGAAAGAGAATATAATCATGTTAGAATATTGAATTCTGAATTTAACTAAAGAAAATATGATGTTCACATCCTTCAATACCAAATGTTGAAATTCCCTGTTGCCCATTAGAGAGCAGTAGAATAATTCTTGAAGCATAGAAGACAGGAAAAAAAAATCTTTTTATTAAAATTAATCAAATTTCTTCTATTCTGTTGTTGGCTTACAATTTTGATTTTTATATTTTTTAAGGGAAACCAGAAGCAAAATTGAAGGAAAAACTATAAAAATCAGAATAATCGGTCATTAAAGAAGGCTATTATGAGGTGCATTCAAAAAGTATCCAACGTTTGGGCATAAAAAAGTCAATTTTGTACATTTCACAAATTTTATTTAATCACCTTCAAAATACTCCCTTTGTGAGTTCACCCACTTCATCCAGTAGTTCTGCCACTGTTGGTAACGCCAGTGGAATGTCTTGAATGCTATAGAGCTCTACTGTTGCTTTCCTTATAATTTCCTCTTGCAACTCAAATTACTTACTTTTCAGCATGGATTTCAGATTAGAAAAGAGCTTAGAAGTTACACAATGCAAAGTAAGGAGAGTAGAAAGCCTATCAAACAAGAGGTATGGTGTTTTTCACCAGGAAAGTTTGGATTATGTAGGCAGAATGAGCAGGTGAATTTCACAGACACTCTCTGCATGCACAAATCCCCTAGTAAAATGGAATGCACTGATCTTATGCTTATTTACACTTTGTAAGCAATTTCTTGGATTGTTAAATGGTGGTCTTCCATAAATATTCACTGAAACTTCTCATACATAGTCATTTTGGCTTGTTTATGTCCTGTCTGGGCATGTGTCTTACTCACCACTTAAGTGTGGCTATGTTTGAAGCAGTTGATATGAGTTTTGACTATGGCATCATCACCAAAGGTATGCTGAATTTTCTGGAAAGTTTTGGCTTCAGTATCACCAAGCTTTCGGCAAAACTTGATGTAATATCTCTGTCGATGTGTTCCGTCTACTTGAGTGAAAACAAAAATCCAACAAGTGTGCGCTACATGACTAATCTCTAGTTGTAACAGCCAGGAACTGATGCAGTCTACCAGCATGAAAATTTTCATGCATGAGCAGGAAGGGTGGTACCACCTCCCACCCAAAGGATTTTACTCATGTGGCATTAGTTTTGGCAAGAAAAAATAAATTCTTATATTATTTGAATGCACCTCATATATTTAAATTCTCAGTCTTTGATCAGAAACGAAATGGAAAGGAAACTAAAGCATTATTAAAGATGAGAAACAAAAATTAGGATGTCAGGTGTAAAGGGTAAATAATTCAATATTTTATATTTGATTTTGTAAGCAATATTTGAATTTCATAACTTGCAATGAATTCTTTCCATGAATTGACACCAATCAGATTTTTTAATCATTTCACTCCAATCAAGGCAATAAAGCCACTAAGACACAACTCCCCTACTAAGTATGAAAGAATAAGAAAAAAGAGAAACATCATTAAGAAGTGAGAACAATAAAAAAAGATGAATCAAGAAAACAGTAGATAATGATTGATATTGCATTTAAAATTTCAAAGATCAAAGTTGGCTGGCTAGAAAGCTTGGGGTTGGAAGAGAGTTCCATAAATAAGAAGTGTAAGAGAAAAAAACTGTTAGCATAGAATGTATCATTGAGACAAAAAGATGAGAGTCTGTATGTGAAACAAATGTTTATGAAAAAGTGTATTTATCCATGGGCAACATCTTTTTTTTTGGCCATTGGTGCTCTAAAAGTGTTTTGTTCTATTGTGCATAGGCCAAGCACTGTAATGTTGTTGAGCTAGAATATCCTGTTGATAATGTAAGGGTCAATTTTCAGTTCTTTGCCTTTTTCTAAATTTCTATGATAACAATCAATACGTGTCTCCTAAACACAGAGTTGCTGCAGCATTAAAAGAACACAGACAGTGTCCGTTCACAGATTTCACATTGTCAGCAATGATAAAATAGCCTGGAATATATCACTGGATAATGTTTATTGTTTGGCCAAGATAGCAATTACTTAAATACATATACCATAGCTTAAGTTACTCAAAACTGAAAAGGTCCTTCACCTGTAAGTAGAGTCCTGACATTAAAACCAATTTTATTTCCATACAGCCTTTACAGGCTTATACAGATGCCTCCATAAAAGTATTGTCTGGGGTGGGCTGTTCCTCTGTCTAGCTACACTGTCTTGAATGCAATCTTGCAATTGCTACTTCAGTCATTATGTTTGTTGAACAAAAATAATAATAAATTCTTCAAGAATTTAGGGGAGTGTAAAGGAAATACTTACATGCTGAGTGCTCCAGCAGCCTTGGCTCTAACGAAAGCATAATCATCGGAGAGGAGAAGTATAAGAGGTGAAACTACACCTTGTTTAACTGCTTCAATTTTACCACGAAGTGGAACGCTGCAGCAAAGAAAAAGAATGTCTTTATAATACTTTCAATGTATCAGTATAGTAATACATTCTGAAGAATACATTGATGAAATTATACATTAGAATAAAATGGATTTAGACTTTCACTGTTGCATTGTTCTAGCATTGTTGCCTGGCCCCACTGGTCTGTTTTGAGAAAAATAGGAAATTAACATTTACCAGAAATAAATATAGGCAGAAACTTTATGTCTGAGGATTCTTCTTATTAAATAACAAAAATGAGAAAATCAACATTCAATTGCTGAAACCTCCTGACAAATGGGTTGAACTATTACAAAATGGTTCATCTATGAAATTCTGGAGTCAAAGTGCTGAATATAAATAATATCAATCAGCTAAGTGACAGATTTTATATTTGTATTATATATATATATATATATATATATATATATACACACACAAAATACATAAAAGGTTAATGGTCTGAGTTGAATCAGACCAGGAAACAGTGGTATTAAAAAGTGCTCAATACACGTGTGAAAAAATAAAATAAAAGTAAAAATAACATGTAGAGCTTGAAACTTTAAAAATCAGGATGTCAGTTGGATCTGCTACGTTGCTTTCAACCTTACGGTATCCTCAGGTGATTTTTATCAATTGACCTTTAATGCTTTATTTTTTTTAAAAAAAAATGAATACTGTATTATTTTTAAAAAATAAACAAACAAACACACAATGTTGAGGTAATAGAAAAGGAGGAGGAGAATGTGAAGAAGGAAGGAGAAGAAGGGGGAAGAGAAGAAAAGCAAGAGTATTAGTGGGGGTAGGTAAATGAAATGTACATTTTTTTTATCCAGCCACATATGTGCTTAAGAGGAATTTCCTAATATATATGCAAGGACTCAAGACTCAGATTTCTGGTTCTTTGGATCTAGAAATGTTGTAATTTTTATTGTTGGCAGAGGTTGCAAATATTGTTGTGATTGTTATATGTGATTGTTGTTTTTTAAAATTTTCCAGCTAACAATTGGATCCCTTTTATTTTTTCTTTTAAATTCCACACATGGTCAGCTAGTTTAGTAGAGTACCCTAGATTTACTTGCTTGAGTGACGACCTATGATTGTACCATCTACACTTAAAAGTACCTTCCATACACCGTATGTATGTTTTATTTTGGATTTTAATATCTGTTACTTCTGCTTTATAGATTATTACTTTGGTTTTACAAGCTCAGATTGTAAGCAGGAAAATTTTTAAAAAGGCAAAGCCTTATATCAACCACAACAATTTTTGCAACCTTTGCCAACAGGAAAAATTAGCAATTATGATATTTCCAAATCAAAAGAACCTTTTGAACCAGAAATCCAAATCTTGAGTCCTTGCATACATATTAGGAAATTCCTCTTAAGCACATATGAGACTGGATTAAAAAAATATTTTTAAAACTGTACATTTCAATTAGCGATCTCCCACAATACTTTTATAACACCCTTGCTTTTCTTCTCTTCTTATCCTTCCTTCTTCACATCCTCCTCCTCCCTTTCTATTACACCTAATGTTGTGTTTGTTTGTTTATTTTTTTTAAATAATATAGTGTCCATTAGTTTATTTTTTTTTTAATAAATTGTTAAGAGGTCAATTGATAAAAATCACCTGAGAATACCGTTAGGTTGAAATCAAGGTAGCAGATTCAACTGATCTCCTGATTTTTAAAGTATCTATCTATATATATATATATATATATATATATATATTAGTTTTAAGGTATGCTATATATATGGGTAAAAGGGCTTAATATTAAGGATAGAGTGTATGTAAATATAAAAGTTGGCCTTGAGGTCAACGCAGAATGGCTGCAGTATGTTTCACACTTAAATGCAATCTTCAGACCATGTGCATTATGTTTTGGGTTGACTATAGATGCTGGCCAATGCATTATGAGTAGTTATTGCCTTATCGTAACAGTTGTGTTTCAAATTATTCTAGAGGTTATTGAGTAGGAATAATTGTGGATCCAAATGTGGTTATTTGTAACTATTTTAGAGTTTTGTTTGTTAACATTTTATTTGTTATTTATTATTGCTTACTTAATTATTTGTTGTTGATTATTATTATTAGATTTATTTGTGTTTATGTATTATTTATAGATTGTTAATTTGTTTAATATTTCATTTTTGATTTAGATTTTTTTGTTTATTTCATTTAAATTTTGTTAGGGTAGTAAACATTAAGGAATGTTCTCTTATCATGGGGTTGAATGTGGTGTTGATGCATGTAGTGTAGATGATTTGGAATTTAATGTGGCTTTTAGTGGTTTGTGGGTTTATTACAGGTGGTTATCTCTGGATAACGTCCTAATCCTAATATACACCAATAATTTGTATGTACTGATTAAATTTTATATATCTTAAAATATACAAAAATTAAAAAGTTCATATCAGAAAGTTCTCCTGTTGAACGTCTAAATCCTTTAGCATAAGATATAGAGACAGAGTCCTTGTAAATGTGTTTGTATGTCTATCATTTGTTGATAGTAGTAATCCTTTTGACTGTGAGATTTTTAGGTGTCCTGATAATGTAGGGCATGGGAGAATGAATAAAATTATTTCATCAACTCTCTGGTTCCTTTGTCTAGTAGTTTCTGTGTTTATACACTTCTCCAAGACAAAGGAATTCATTTTAGGATTCTCTCTTGTTTTCTGATTGGTTCACAGGTGTGACTCATTTAATAATCCCTTTTTTTGACCTACATTTAGGAACAATGACTTTTGACCTCTTTTATTTTAGTTCTCTACTTTTCTTTTTTATTTTGAAATATTGAATTTTTTATTTTTCTATCAGTACAATATTGTAATCGACAAATACAGTTTGATAAAGGCTGTTTATGATTATTTAGAAGATATTTGACCTTTATTTGAGAATAGAGGCATACTTCATTATTCTTTCTATAACTACAGTTATATCAGATGTATTGTACGCTGTCGGAAATACAATTCTTTAACTCAAACAGAAGTGCTCACTTCAACATTCACAGCTCATATAACAGAAACAGGCCATCATTTTTACCATGAGTCTATCTTGCTCATCTACAGATGGGTGTTGATTTTCTTCATGTGTCTATTTCGGCTATTATCTTGTATTATACTGCAAATGAACTCTCAGTCTCCCATGACTGATATACAACATCACGACTGAACCTTGTAAATCACAGGAAATAAAGAATTCTTTTACTTATCCCAACCACATCTTACGTCCATTTGTTGTTTTGTCACTTTTACTCTTTTTCTTGTTAACAGTATAAGCCACTGTTACAAATGCAGACAAAATTTGAATAGGATTCCTGCATATACAAATTTTGCTTGTGTTTGTAATGAAAGAAAGCAATAAGAAATTATTTTTCTCATTTTCTGTGTGTGTTCAAATTCAACATTGAAATACTCACCTCAGGTTCATAATGTTCCTGGCAGCTTTCATTCGGATATTACTGATAGGATGAGGGAGAAGTGATTTAAAAATAGTCATAGCATCGGCATTTAGAGCATCTTCTGTGTTGACCATTAGACAGAAATGTAGAGTGTCAAGGATAAAAATCTGTAGAAATAGAATTCAAGGAAACAATAGCAACAAGTCTCTCTCATGATTAGCAACAAAACTACAGGAATGCAAACAAAGAGAGAAGGAAATTATAATTGTTAAAAAATACAGTTTAATATTTTTTTCTAATTAGGAGCTTTACTCCTTGATTCTTGACATAATCCTATTTTTGTCTATTTTTTATTGTTTTTATTAAAGAATAAAGTAAAAGAATAAAACTACTACTAAAGCCAGGAACAGATCTAGCATTATCAGTTGGGGTGGGGAGGAGGAATGTTCCCTAGTAAAATCTAAATTCAGAAATTTAAATTCTGCCATCCTATATTTTAGATTATAGAAATGAATAGAGAATGTTCATATATATATATATATATATATATATATATATATATATATATATATATATGTATATATATATATATATATATATATATATATATATATATATATATATATATATATATATATATATATATATATATATATGTATGTATGTATGTATGTATGTATATATATATATATGTATGTATATATATATGTATATATATATATATATATATTTTGTGTTTATACATTATTTTTATGGCTACAACTTATTTGAGTAAATGTTCTGTTTTTTATTTAAACAGTATTAATTACATTTTCCAGCCTGAATATTTAAGAAATTTCACAGAAAATATGCACACTCAGATAGGAATCAAACCTGTATCCCATGCAGAAACCATCATTTAGCCTGACAAGCTGTTAAGCGATTCAACCAGAGTAACTTGTAATTACTGCTTATAAACACATATATTTGACAACCTTTCACGATAATTCATTTTTGCTCTTAAAATCTTGAAATTTTACTCAAATAGGTTGTAGCCATAAAAATAATGTATAAACAGAAAATATATTAAAACATTTGTCAGATTTAATCCATTACATATAATAAATTATATATATATATATATATAAATAAATTTAAAATTTGTGTTTTCTTTTATTTATTTGAGATGTAAAATTGTAAATTCAAACTTTTAGATTCAAAGTGTAATTATATTATAAAAAATGTTTTTCATTACAGCTAGTCATTTTCAAATTTTGATTTATTGATATAAAAAAAATGAATGTATACACTTTACTTATTTGTCATCTTATAATTCTCTCAGATCCCGATCCATAGATGAACTACATTTGACCAAAAATTCACAATTTTACTCATTATTACTGTCTCTCTCATTTCTCCAACACCACATAATAAATAATACTTGTTTCCATGTCTTGTTGTTTCTCATTTTATGAGTATATATATATATATATATATATATATATATATATATACAGTGTATCATAAAAGTGAGTACACCCCTCACATTTCTTCAAATATTTAAGTATATCTTCATGGGACAACACTGACAAAATGACACTTTGACACAATGAAAAGTAGCCTGTCTGCAGCATATATAACAGAGTTAATTTATTTTTCCCTCAAAATAACTCAAAATATAGCCATTAAAAGCTAAATCCCTGGCAACAAAAGTGAGTACACCGCTTAGGAAAAGTTGTCAATATTAACATACTGTTCATATTGTCAACTGTCAATATTTTGTGTGGCCACCATCATTATCCAAAACTGCCTTTACTCTCCTGGGCATGGAGTTTACCAGAGCTTCACAGGTAGTCACTGGAATGCTCTTCCACTCCTCAATGCTGACGTCACGGAGCTGGCGGATATTTGAGACTCTGCGCACCTCTACCTTCTGCTTGAGGATGGCCCAAAGATGTTCTATTGGGTTCAAGTCTGGAGACATGCTTGGCCAGTCCATTACCTTTACCCTCAGTCTCTTCAGTAAAGCAGTGGTTGTCTTGGATGTGTGTTTGGGGTCATTGTCATGCTGGAACACTGCTCTGGACCCAGTTTCTGGAGGGAGGGATCATGCTCTGCTGCAGTATTTCACAGTACATGTTGGAGTTCATGTTTCCCTCAATGAAATGTAACTCTCCAATAGCTGCAGCACTCATGCAGCCCCAGACCATGACATTCCCACCACCATGCTTGACTGTAGGCATGACACACTTATCTTTGTACTCCTCACCTGGTCGCCGCCACACATGCTTAAGGCCATCAGAACCAAACAAATTAAATTTCGTCTCATCAGACCATAGGACATGGTTCTAGTAATCTATGGGCTTTGTTGACATGTCTTCAGCAAACTGTTTGCAGGCTTTCTTGTGTATTGCCTTCAGAAGAGGCTTCCTCCTGGGGTGACAGCCATGCACACCAATTTGATGTAGTGTGCGGTGTATGGTCTGAACACTAACAGGCTGAATCCCAATCTCTTTAATCTCTGCAGCAATGCTAACAGCACTCCTACGCCAATCTTTCAAAGAAAGCATTTGGATGTGATGCTCAGCTGAGGCCTGTTCTGAGTGGACCCTGCTCTTTTAAAATGCTGGATGATCTTAGCCACTGTGCTGCAGCTCAGTTTCAGGATGTTGGCAATCTTCTTGTAGCCTTGGCCATCTTTATACGTTTTTTAAGATCCTCAGAGAGTTCTTTGCCATGTGGTGCCATGTTGGAACTTTCAGTGACCGGTAAGAGAGAGTGTTAGAGCTGCACTACAAATTTGAATACACCTGCTCCCCATGAACGCAATGGCATAGTTACACTAATGAGTCACATGACATTTTGGAGGGAAAATGAAAAGCAGTACTCAATTTAGACATTTAGGGGTGTAGTTTCTTAGGGGTGTACTCACTTTTTTTTAGGGTGTAGTTTCTTAGGGTGTACTCACTTTTGCTGCCAAGGATTTAGCTTTTAATGGCTATATTTTGAGTTATTTTGAGGGGAAAAGAAATTAACTCTGTTATATATGCTGCAGACAGACTACTTTTCATTGTGTCAAAAGGTAATTTTTTCAGTGCTGTCCCATGAAGAGATATACTTAAATATTTGAAGAAATGTGAGGGGTGTACTCACTCACTTTTGTGATCCACTGTATATATATATATATATATATATATATATATATATATAAATTTAAGGGGGTTTATAATTATTTATTCAGAGTTATAACTCTCCTACAAGTATGACTTTCAAATGTAATTTTTCTAATCCAATAAAAGTTGCTATAATTAAAGGATTTCTGTATAATGAAGTTTTAAGATATTTTCAACAGTTTTTCTTTCTAGATGACAAAATATCAGTAATTAATATTTATTAATTAATTAATAGTTATAGTATTTGATAAGATAAAAACTGATTACTATTAATGTAATTTATTATAATCATTTAGCATTTAGTAGAAAAGATCAATGTTACCAGCCATTTTGAATTAAAAGATTAAATGCAAACCTTTATGCTATCATCTTCTGGCAACAAATTATTTACTAAAACTGGCACCAAAGAAGCATCAACAATGCCGAGGGCTCCTGAAAAATACCAGTAGATTTTAGGGTTAATTCTTGAATTCTTGGTCATTCTCCAGGCACTTTGATTTTTAAATTTAGAAACTAACTTATTTTCAATGTCAGCAAATAGAAACAGAAAAGTTATTGTTAAGAACAAAGAGAAAAACAAATCAGAAAAGTCAAAATAGATTAAAGTATTTTTTACTGCTACCAAAAGTGCAAATCAATGTCTAAAACCTTTTGACTTCTTTTAAGTCTCATACTCAGAATCAAACTCAGTATCAGCCAAGTAAATATGTTTCCTTTTGATGTGATATTTTATTTCATGTACATCGATATAATCTGTTGGAACCTTTGAAAAAATAGGCTTGTAAGGACTGTTTTCAAAGAAACTTAAGTTTATTTGAAAGAAACTTTTTCTTCATAGCATATACATATATATAGATATATTCTGTGACTACTGTTATTCTGTTCATCACACCCTCTAAAATAGCCATACATTGATTGATTAAAACCAAATTTTTGGGAGAAGTGCAAACAGGTAAGGGGGTACAAAGTACAATTGGTTTTACTCAGGTGTGTAGTTCAGTGCAATAGATTTTCATTAACTTTTTTTGGAAAGAACAAAATACTGCCATTATTTTGATAACAATTTAATCATTAAAATAAATACTTATTTAATAAAAATGTAATATTGTTTTTTGCATATCTTCAAGTTTTTATATATATTTAATTCTGGTAAAATATAATGCCCAGTAGTAGCAGTGTAAATATAAACACAGTAGGGAGAGTAAAGTAAATGTTGGTGATAACTTCAACAATATTAAATACTGGGAGAATATCAACATGTTTCAGCATGTTGCAAAAAAAAAAATTCTAGTTTATTAAATTATAATAATATTGCCAGTAATTGAGATTGGTTCCCTGTCTTTGAATTAAACATTGAGAAATTACTATTGAAATATATTAATAAAATTTTTCTCTATGGTCATCATATAAATACATGCTTGATAATATAATTTTTAGGATTAATGTTTAAAGCTAAACAAAGAAAAAAATTAAATGAGAATATTAGTTAACTTTCACTGTTGTATTGTTATAGCAATGTTAACTGGATGAGTTGGTCCATTTACTGGAAATAAATAACTATAAAAAAGCTGACAAGAATTTCTCATGGACACTACCATTTTAGTTTTTGTACTCCCGTACAGATTAATATTATGAACAAACAACAAGTACTGCCAGTGAGGCAAAAGGAAAAGAAGATAAGAATTGTTAATATAAAATTCTTTGTATTGCCGATACAGAAGATGTGAGTGGAATGTCTCTTTGTGGGCAAGGGAAGTGACTTGAAGGAAGAGTAGAATTGGTAAGGTTTGAAGTTAATGTGTATGTCAGCTCAGTTGACCAAGGTCACTGGTGATGACATTGAGAGCTTATCAGTGATGTATTCATTGAAGTTTGTCCGTTCACCACAATTCTGTTTCAGTCATTATGAGCAGCATTCTTAACAGCAAATGCGGTGGATCCTGAAGTTATCTTTTTTCATGTTTTTTCTATGGTGGCAATATTTATGGTTGGCTCTTTTTACATTGTTTTTTTATTATTCCTTAAAATTTTTTTGAGGTGATTTGTTTTGTGAGCCAAATGTAGTCCCCAGAGGCTCTGTGCAGAGGATGACTTTTTTATTTTTGGTTTTTGCTTTCTTAGCGTTCACATCTGGCCAACATGAAAAGTGAATCAGAAAGAAATCTAATTTGTAGGAGGGTATAGCACTAAGATAAACACAACACACAATAATAATAAAAATACATCACAAAACAGGTTGTATTGCATTCTACTATATATCTGCATTGGTTTGGAAATAGCACTAAGCGATAGTTTATAACACAAACACTACTAATCAACATTTCACCAAGCCTTGAAAAGGTATATACACATTGACAGCAAGTAATGTAAATTTTGTAAAGATGTACAAGTATATCCACGACAGCAGAAATGTTAACAAAACAATTAGGGGACACAATATAACATAGAGGCTTTTAAAAATTACAACCTGCCATTATATATCATTATTTCACTAAGAAAATCAAATAATTATATGAAAAATGACAAAGTAATAATTTATTACCAAGAGGATTTTCTGAAACCATTTCTATGACTTTATGTGCATTGAAACGGGAAATCATTTCACGATCATCAAATAATTTAGAAATGGGAGCAATCACTTGAAGTCTAATCAAAGCAATTCTTCCAACTGCACAGCCTGTAAAAAGAAAAGAAAACGAAAAAGATTTTATTAACCTTTCTGTCTCCCACTTATCGGATACAAAATAAACATTCAAATAATTAAATGTATCAAGAAACAGAAATAGTCACAATGAGTAAGAACAGAAATGATAGGGTTTATGGCTACAAATGTGTCCATCATTTGTTCAAGAGAAGAAATCATTTTGACTGGAAATAGTGACAAAAATTACTACATTGATTGCACTCAGAATTTGGAAGAGTTTTTTTGTAGGCATCTTAATTTTTTTTTTTTTATATTTCTATTTGTCAATTATTTTTTATATTTTGATTCATTTATTAAAATTTTTATATTTTGGTTTGTGTTGTAGCATACCTATGGACGATAATGGGCATGTCCCCATTCACATAAATACAGTAGTAAATACTGTATGTTAGTCTGCAGTTGGAAATTTATTGTGGAATTCACTTGACTCATTTCTAGCAGTTGGCTACTTCTCTACATGCCGCTGGTGAATCTTATATGTGTTGTTCGTGTATTAAGTATTATTGTTCATTACCAACCTTTGTGTAATTATTCTATTCAGTAACCTTTCCTAGGTTACAACAGTTTGTTAATTAATAGTTTTATATTTTGGCTCGTTAATTTATGTTTTTTATATTTAATTATTATTTATTTTTAAATTTTAGCTTGTTAATTCACTTTCTTCAAATTGTATTGGGTTGTTCAGAAAGTCTATGCCAATTTTTAAGGGAAATTAAAGCACAAAACAAAATTTTGCCATTAAATATTTATTCAACTAAATATGAACCATTTTGTTGTACAAACTTTCTTTATTTTTCCTTCAACTTAAAGATTCCATCTTCTCAGAATTTTGGTGGTTTTTTGGCAAAGAAATCATTAAAGTGCTTTTTTATGTCATCTAAAGAATTAAAATTTTTACCATTGAGATAGTTTTGCAAGGACCTGAATAAATGAAAATTCGAAGGAGCAATGTCTGGTGAATATGGCGAGTGGAGTAACACATCCCAGCCAAGCTGCAACAACTTTTGCTGGGTCGCCAAAGAAATGTGTGGTCTGACATTATCCTGATGGAAAACAACACCTTTCCTGTTCGCCAATTCTGGTCATTTTTCTTGAATTGCTGCCAGTTGCGAGCAGTACTTTTCAGAATCAATTGACTGGTTACTTGTCAGAAGCTCTTAGTATAGGATTCCTTTTCAGTCTCACCAGATGCACAGCATGACTTTCTTAGGATGAAAACCTGCTTTTAAGGTGGCTAAAGTTGGCTCATGTCGCTTACTTCAGGATCTTTTTCACTGAACATTGTTGTAAATGATCTATTTCTCATCACCTGTTAGAATTTGCTTCAAAAAGTGTGCATTTTCATTGTGTTTATACAGCAAATCACAGATGAAATGTGATCCAAAAGATTCTTTTCATTCAGATCATGTGGTACCCAAACATTGTAGTGATCTGAGTACCCAAGTTTCACTAAGTGCTCATGGATGGTGGATTTTGATAAATTTAGTGTTTCTGCCAATCCCTGCATTATGAAATGCAGGTTATTCTCAATCAATGACTTGATTTGGTCGTCATTTGTAATGGGGGGGGGAGTCTGCCTGAACGTTCTTCATCAATAAGGTTACAATCACTGTGCATTTCTGTCCTTCACCAAACACAGTACATATTTTTTGTTGTTTGCGAGGTACTTTTGCCTTTATAGTGAGAAAAAAAGCATCAAGTGTCTAAAATGCACCTTATCTTCCATATTCATAGAGATGCAAAATTGACATGAATTAAGTAATTTTAAACATTCTTTCTCATGAGATAGTCTGAAGTGTGCTCTAGTTGGAAATGTAAGCATATTACATGTTAAATTTGTTCTAACATGTTTATCCCCTTACTATTCCTCCCAGTCCCTGTTCTACCAACCATTTACACAAGTGTGTTTATAGGTTGATTATGGATCTCCACAACGTCCTATACTTTATAGCATTAATCAATGTTTATCCCTTTTCTATCCGTCTGTTCTACCACACATTTCCACAAGCATGTTAAGTAGGTGGATCAAGGCTCTCCACAACTTCCTATCCTTTATAGCTCTAAGCAAGGTTTATCCTCTTACTTTCCTTCCCAGTCCCTGTTCTGTCACCCATTTACACACATTCAGTAGATTGATCATGGCTCTCCACAACTTCCTTTCTTTTGTAGCTCTAAGCAATTTTTATTCCTTTACTATCCCTTCTAGTCCCATTTAAACAAACTTGTTATGAAGGTTACATGCTGCTTCCCTTTTGCCTTCAATATGTCATTTGATTGATGAAATATTTCAAGTTGATCCATATTACAGAATCCATGTTGTGTTGAGAACTACAGTTTTATGAACCACAATTTTTTGTTTTATTTGATGAGTCAGATTAATGAAAAATCTTACTGGCTTGTTTCCATATGTGCTGTGACATAAACTCAATGAAAGAAACGTTTTCGCCATCATTTAATATCACAGTAGAAGTAATGCATCATTACACCTTGGCCATTTTCTCTCTGTATCTTGCAATGATGCTGACGCAAACAACACACTTTAAGAGATTGCTGTGATGGCATTTTGTTTAGTCTCAGAAAAATTCCCTAAAAGACTCATGCTTGAAATTCTGTATACAGACAACACTGTTTACTGATTGTCACAAGAACTTTTCAGGCATTTTTGTGGATTCTATTCTAGGGATACAGAAGGCGATTATCTCCCTTTGGTGGAGATAAGTCACATAGGTCACGTGATGGATTGCTTAGTGATGTCACTCTATACAATGACCAAAACAGCAGTTAAATTCAGTTTGGTTACACCAGCAGCCATGTGAAGTTGCTTTCTTTAGCCTGGGCCAAGAAATCTGTCTCCCCCCAGTAGTTTATAAACACATGGTGCTATTTCCCTTTGGGAATATATCTATCCCAGATATGGAAATAAACTTCAGCTCACAGTCCTCAATTTGGGAGAACCCCCAAAACTTGGTGTTTTGCATTTGTGGAATATGTCCTTGCCTGGGATATAGATAAATCCAGCCCATTTGAATCTGGAGTCCTAAAAATGGCTTTTTCACACACAGGAGTATCTCTCATATTATATGTAAGACCTTTCTTTTTTGTTTCTACTCTGCTTTGCTGTGTAGATATATGTAATATATTATTCTCCATGTGGGACGTGTGTGTATATATATATATATATATATATATATATATAGTTTTGCGTGTATCTTAGAGATATAAAAGTCTCTCTAAGAACACAGCATGTTTGTCATTCTTTTTCCTTTCAGCCATTCTGTTCCAAATGCCCATAATAGAGAAAATACAAATGGGAGAATAAACCTTTTTTTCTATGATGGCTCTCTTTGGTTAAAACAGTGGTGTCCCAAATGGTGCGGCATACCTCTATGTGCAGTGGAAGAGGATAGCAGGTGAGGCAGAATGATTGAAAGACAATCCAAGATTTAGAAATAATTTCAAATAATCATATGCCAAAAATAAATATGATTTCAAAATTTAAATATTATTATGGAATACTTGTAATTGTATGCATGCGTCCCACTATAAATAGCTATAAATAATTATTGACTAATTTTGTCATTGGTATTTTTGCATTATATCAAGTATTAAGAATATCGTAAATAGTGTCTGCAAATTGGAGGAGAAAGTTATCAATGATAATGTTCTGACTTCGAATCCCTTTAACCCTCTCTACGTTTTTATTTTTTCAAATATACATTTTATCACATAAAATTTGGTGAGGTGTGAGCAAATTTTCATTCTGAAAGTGTGAGCCAAAGAAAAAAGTTTGAGAACCACTATGTTATACTATGAAACTTTTGGCATAAATGTGGATATTTTCAAGACAGATATATCTTAGTTCAAATACCACTTAGAAAATTCTTGGAAGCTTTTCCCATTAAATCCATTGTTAATCAGTAGAACAAGTTCCCTTCACTGTGCAAACTTGTACAAATGTTGATGACAAAATCTCTAATTGCTATCAGTGCAGAAATTTTAAGGACATAATTTTGTTTACTATTAATTGATAAAAGTTATTTCGTATTAAAACAGGTATGTGGCTCTTATTTGGATTTTGACTTCAGAATTATCATCCCTAAAATTGACAAAAACTATACATGATAAAATGTAGCTAAAGTAAAATAAATCTTACAAGCGATGATAAAGAGACATTCAGTGCTTTTCTGTCGAACTGTGATATCAGGGTCAGAGAGCAATTTTTTCAGTGAACCCACAATACCTAAAAAAGAAAAAAATATTATTAACAAATATTATTAAGAAAGTTAAATAACTATGATAACCTGAAATTTTTGACAGTTTATTTCTACTGAAAAAACAAAAACAAAACAAAAAAAAAAACAACAACTGTTTCTGTAGAGTGAGTGGCTATGGTTAAATAAATGATAGAACTGCCCAACAAACAGAATTGACAAAGTTCATAATAAAGAAAAAGGAATAAATAATATAAAACAAGCAAGCAAACAATATATGCAAGGCAAATTAACAGTAATAAAGCAGAGCCACAGTAATATAGCAAAAAGTTTGCAAACTAAGAATTTGGGTGACACACAAAAACAAATTTGGATGAACGAATGAATCATTCTTACTTCAAAGCAAGACAGACCGAGACTGAGTCAGATGACATGTGGCCTATCTTATTGGCTAGAAAAAAAATCCCAGCATTCATCTGTGTGCTTCTGCATATAAATTGGGGAGGGGAAAGTGTTATGCATCCATTCCCCATGGGGATTGGAAACAACAGTTTCTCTTTGGGATTTAAAGTTAATCAACTTTATTCAATAAAAAATATGTTTACCTCTGTCAAATGGAATAATTTTCTACAGAATTCAAACTTGTAAACAAAAGTGGCAATTTTGCTGTTCTTTTTTTTTTTTTGACAACTGAATATCCCAAAATTAAAGACAGATTAAAGAAACCTGAATAAAAATAATTGAATTCAGTGTTTTTAAAAGAGCTGCCATCACTAAGAGACAACCATTTATATAGATACTTGTCATGTTCCTGAATTCCAATCTTGGAAAAAGATTTGGTCTTAAAATAAATAAAAAAAAGAATAAATTAGTTGCTTGCTTAATGCATTGACATAATATGAAACAATAAACAATAGTCAGGTGTACAGCTTATTGACTGTTTCTTACAGGAAATCCTCCTGGTGAGATGCAGGAAATACAGGGACAGGAAGCTCACCACAGAGCCCAGTTTTTCCAAGCAGAGGCACAAGTGTCTCCTGAATTACCTTCTGAGACATTTTGGGAAAAGATTAAATGGCCTGTGGCCATTGACAAAAAAGCTTGGCACGACTTCAACTCAGACATCAGCGAGATAGTAAAGTTAATTTCAAAGGGCTCGGTGGATACACGTTTAAGAACTATGTCAAAAATCATAGTCAGCTATGCTTCAGAGTGCTTTGGATATGAGGAAAGGAAAACAAAAGGAAAAAACTGTAGAAAATCAAACAGAAAATAAAATCAAACAATACAGAGTGGAATTAAAAGTTATTCGAAAGCAATAAAAGAGAGCAAAACCGGAAGAAAAGGGTCTGTTGCAAGAGCTCTGTGACTCCATCCGTTCCAAAATGATGTCTTTACGGAGAGCAGAATGTCACAGGAGTAGAAGGAAGAAAAGGGCATGCTAATGATTAGCTTTTGTCTCTAATCCATACGATTTCACTAAGAAATTATTAGGCAATAAACATAGTGGAAGGCTAACATTGACCCCAGATGAAATAAATGATTTCCTTAGACATCGAGTTACCCAAATAGACAAATACAGTTGGGATAAAACTCATCTCTAATCACAACGAACCTGCCTGTATACCCTTTTGACTTAAAAGAACCAACATAGAAAGAAATTCAGATAATATTAAAAACAGCCAGACCAGGATCAACCCCGGGACCTAACGGAGTCTCTTACACAGTTTATAAATGCTGCCCAATGCTGCTCCGTATGTTATGGAGGTTACTAAAAATTGTCTGGAGAAGAGGGAAGATATCTGTGCAATGGAGGTGCTCAGAAGTCATATGGATCCCTAAAGAGGAAGGAGCAAGTACAGTAAATCAATTTAGGTACATCTCCCTATTGAACATCGAAAGAAAAATATTTTTTAGTATTTTAAATCGACACTTAACAGATTTCCTCTTAAATAATAAATACATCAACACTTCTGTTCAAAAAGGAGGTGTCCCAGGCATACTGGGTTGCATGGAACACACAGGTGTCATTACGCAGTTGCTAAAAGACATGAAAGCACATAAGGGTGATATGGCTTTCCTGTGGCTGGACCTTAAGAACGCCTATGGCTCAATCCCACATAAGTTGGTAGAAGAATCTTTAAAAATTTACCATTTTATCTTTATTCATTATCATTATTTTACTTTTTATTTATTTATTTTCTTACTTGTTGCTTAAATGTTGAAAGAGTTAGATTGCATATTAATTGTTATTTTGATATTTTAGCATCTAGAATAAAGGCATAACATCATCATGTTCAAAAGCACTCTATTTTTCGAAAGTCTTTCCCCCATTTTCGTTCTTTATTGCTTAATAGAAGTCTTTTGACTTCCATTTTATCTCTTTTTCCTTTTTTTCTGTCACCAACTACTGGACTATATATGAATTATAATTAATTGTGACTAATTCTTGTTAAACGACTCACTTAGAAATATTGTTCACCCCTCTTTCCGTCTTAATCTTTTTTTTTTATCTTAATGATCAAAAGCGTAAATTTAATTTTATTTGTTAATTTCATACATTAATTTTATCACGTTGAGAGATTTAATTGAATTTTCTAAGTTTACTCATTCAACTTGTTTTAAATGACATTTATATATCTATTTTTGTTTTAACACGCTGCATAAGTCATAATTTATCTATTTTAATCATAAAAATAATGTAAATTTCTAATTATTTTATAGTTGAATTTTTTTTTTTCAATAACAGTAATTATCAGCTGGCGAGATGAAACTTGATAGGGGATGCAAAAAAAAAAAGTAAAAAAAAAACAAAAACGGAAAACATATAACTACCTTCCAAGTATCCAATGAGTATCCACAAAAAAAAAAAAAGACCCCCCCCCGTAAACAATTTAAATAGAGGTCACACCATTTCGATTGGCTGTTGCTTAACTTCCAATCAAATGCATAATAGTGGGTGATGGTTTGCCTGATACAAGTCAGTGTCTGCAGGTTGTTAATTTACCATGTGGGCACATCAGAGACTGATCAGCTCTGATAAAGTCGACTTGGCGAGGGTAATATGATGTTTGAAAGACCCGAAACTGCCCAATGATCCAATTCAGAACATCACTGATAATGCCCTCTAGTGTTAAAAAGTGTATATTCAAAGTATTCCAAAATTAAAGACAGATTAAAGAAACCTGAATAAAAATAATTGAATTCAGTGTTTTTAAAAGAGCTGCCATCCCTAAGAGACAACCATTTATATAGGTACTTGTCATGTGCCTGAATTCAAATCTTAAAAAAAGATTTCGTCTTAGAATAAAAAAAAAGAATAAATTGGTTGTTTGCTTAATGCATTGATATAATATGAAACAATAAACAATAGTCAGGTGTACAGCTTACTGACTGTTTCTTACAGGACCAAATATATGTGCCTTTGTAAGAGGTTAGGGTGAGTCAACTAAAAAATACCAGTTTGTCAAACAGGCTCCCTTTAACCAATGAGATAAGCAAAGAGGCTTGAGAACAAAAGACTCACTGACAACTCAAAACTACATGCCAGCTTCTCTAAGTCAACATGTTTGTATTTCCATTTCCCCTGTATATTGTAATATATTGTAATAACTTTTACAAAATGCATGAAATTTCTTTCTATCAAACACACACCTATTTCTCTTAACATTTCTAATAAAACTGTTTTATCAAAATGCAATAAAATACAACTGCAGAAAATACAATTTTTGTTGTATAAAATATAAATGAATTGCAGTTTTAAATTTTACCATAATTATTAGAAACTAGCAGAAATATCTGTTATTGACTGAGTATGGATGAAACTGCCAAAATGGTACTATGTTTTTGAAAGATATTGATTAGAGAGTATTGTTAACATTCATGTATATGATACAGCTTTATCCATCCAGGTAAGATAATAGAAAGGACTGCCAGTTTTCATGTAGAGCAAAGAGGAGCTTCCTTCAGACCAATATCACCATGGTTGCATATAATCTGGTCTGGGATCTCTATAGTTTGGTTTATAAATGTAGCAATCATCACATATGTAACTAAATAAAAGATTTAGGAAAACTATAAACATATGCATATTACAATATTTAAATATTACAACAAACATCAATAATGAAAAATTATACCATTATAGTAATGTTTATTTTCAGTATAATAATATATCCAGTTGCCTAGTTGCTGCATTCTGTCGAGTATTCATTCTGAGTCTCCTCTCCCTTATTTCTGGAGTTTCAGATTGTCTAGCTTCTGCATTTCATTGAGCATTTAATGTTATGTTTTCTGCCAGCTTTTTCTTTAGTTTCAGACTGTCTTGCTGCTACACTCTGATGTGCATCTAATCTCTTTGTTTTAGATCTGCTTGTTCTTGACTTTGTGATGCTTGTCAAGCTGCATTTGCCTTTTCTGTGTCTTCTCTCTCCTTCTCTTGCTCAGTTGATCTTCAGCCTTCTTCTGCTCTTTCTCTTTTCATCTGCTAGAATTGCTTAGGTGGTTCAAAACTTTAGAAAGGGTATAGCCTAATTATTATTTGTAATAGTCCAGCTGGCAGAACAGACATCTGAAAGATATAGAGCTGTCTAGGTTTGGTCATTATAGGACAAATGATTTTAGGAAGAATTCAAATAAATTCTAAAGTTGCATATTAATGAAATTGTAGTTATTGTAGAGGTTCAAGTGATGCCTCCTTAGTCCAAAATGGACAAAATTTATGGAAAAACTACACTAGGATCCATATTAATTGGATATGCGATTGAAACAGCAGCTATTGTGTAGGTTATAGGAAATTAAATTTGTGGTCTCAATCAAATGTTTGGATGCAAAAATGAAATGAATGTAAAAAGATGGTATGGATTAAATTTCATTTAAATCCATGGAAACAATTTTTTTGAGGCAGGGATTTGTGCACCCCAGGAACCCACCTTTTTTAAATAAGTTAGATATATATAGTTTATGACATTAGGTGTCATACATAGAATCTCTTTCAAATTTCATATGAATCTATCCACTGGTTGTGTTGTTTAGGTTTTTAGGGGGATAAGTCCTCCCACTACACCCCTTCAGACTCTATATAAGTACTTTCGGAATTGGCTTCAAAATATATCAAGGTGAGTAAAACATATAGCCCCATGGTAAAAACTTGTGATAATAGAGGTTCAAATACTCAAGTTATAGGCTTCCAAAATTTTCAAAAAAGTGGGGGTTTAGCCCCCATTAAGATATCCAGGTATTATTGAAATTGGCTGATATTTTGGGAATAGGCATCATTTCAGGTCATTTATCTAAGTTTAAATTTCATTTAAAAAAAAGATTTGAGGGAAGATTGTATTCCTCTGAGGACCTCCTTTGATCAAAATAATATATACTTATACATAGCATATTACATCCACTCTCATGCCAGAAATCTATGTTCCAATTTTCATAAAGATCTATCCAGTAGTATTTGAATCCATGGATACATTTATTTTCAAGGGGGGGTGATGTTCTGCTCTCTTTGCTCCCCTCAAAAATAAATCAAACATAGCTCATTACAATCTTTTTTATGTCTACTATGTTTCAAATTTAATGAAGATCAGTGAAGTAGTTTTTCTTCTTATAGATGGACAGACAGACAGATGCACAGAGACACAGACAGGCGTTAATCTTTATTATTATAGATTTATATTTACTATATTAATGGTGACTATTACAAATTACTAAGGCCATTATATATTAATATTTGACAATAAAGATATTTCAATAAGAAATAGAAGCATACAGCAGGATATTTAAGAAACATTTAAGGATATTTTACAGTAAAAAACATGTTGCAATAATACTTCACAAGGAAAATGACATGTAACAGAGATATTTGACAAGAAAAAGACATGTATCAAGGGTACTTCAACAAGTAAAACATGTTGCAAGGATATTTGACAAGACAAAAGACATGTATCAAGAATACTTAATGAAAATGACATGCAGCATGAATATTTAACTAGAAAAAAGACATGGAACAAGAATACTTGACAAGGGAAAACATGTAGCACAGATATTGACAGGGAAAAAGACATGTAGCGAGAATACTTGACAAGAAAAATGACATGTAGCATGGATATTTCACAAAAAAGACATGTAGCAAGGGTACTTTCACAAGTAAAACATGTTGCAAGGATATTTGACAAGGGAAATGTAAATGGTTGAACTGTCCAATGAACAGAATTGACAAGGTTTGCAATAAACAAGAAAAGAAAAGAAGAGGGCTGCAAACAATAATATTGAGCAAGCAAACAATATATGCAAGACAAAAAGTTCACAAACTAAAAATTAGTGTTGACACACAAAAGCAATTTTGAAGAAGCCAAAATTACTCTTGTATGTCAACACTATTTTCATCTCATGGTTATCGTAGAGTTTACAAGTCTCTAAACATGTTTGTTGAGTGTATTAATCATTTCTCTTCTTGCATGAATAGATAGAGAGAGAAACATACATTGGGGGTAGAATCTCTGGCTGATGCCAAATCTGTGAGGTTTTGATCCTGGCTTGATGCAATCGGATGTTTAGATACACTGATGAGCTGTGATACAGCGAAACAGTCTGTCTGTGAATGAATATATATATATATAGAGAGAGAGGGGGGAGGCAGGAAATTGGCAAACCTAGTAGAGTGGTTTCCTCTTGTCCTTCTCCTAGATTGGCTGCTAGCCAAGGTTAGGGAGCCCAGTCTAACCTGTTATTTAATAGTATATATATATATATATATATATATATATATATATATATATATATATATATATATGTATATATTGTAGAGTAAGTGGTGATGGTTAAATGATGTAAATGATAGAACCTCCCAAACAAAACTGACATAGCTTGCAATAAACAATGACACAAAAAGAAAAGAAGTGGGCAAAAAATAATATTAAACAAGCAAACAATATATGCAAGACAAAGCAACAATAATAAGGAAAAAAGTTCACAAACTAAGGATTGGTGTTGACACACAAGCAAATTCAAATAAACGAATGTAGAGTTCTAACTTCGAGACCAGACAGACTGGGACTGTGTCAGGTGAGATCAAGAAGTGGCCTATCTTATTGGCTAGGAAGAAATCTTAGCCTGCATCTTTGTGCTTTTGCCTATAAATTGGGGAGGGTGAAGTATTTTGTAATAATTCCCACTATAGTTTGGAACCAACACAAGTAATTCTTGATTGTTGTTTAACCTTTCAAACAATTCTTAAGCTGAAATGTTATGAATTTTTTCTTGGACAATCCAAACAATGTAAATAGTATAAATAATTACAATATTTATGCTCAGAAATATAGAAAGATAATAATGGTTTAGTAATACAAGTCTTACTAGCAAAGAAGAGAAGGATTCATACTTTTCCAAAGGGTATTTGCATGTAAGTGAATATAACGAACCCAACTGGAATTGGAAATCAGCTCTTCAATTAACAATTCTGAACCATTATCCATTACAGCACCTGCACATCCACGCTTACAGCACCTGGTATTCCCTAGTGGTTATCCATCTAGGTACTGACCAAGCTCGACATTGCTTAACTTCAGTGACCACAGGAACTGGTGTTTCAACATGATGTCCCCATAAGCCTAAATTAAACATAGAGAAAAGAAAATTAAAAATTAAATCACTATCAGTCTTTCACATCCAAGCTTACATCACCTGGTATTTCCAAGCAGTCACTCATCTAGGTACTGACCAGGCTCTACATTGCTTAACTTCAGTGACTATAGGTGCAAATGTGCAACACCCTAGCTCACATATATATATATATATATATATATATATATATATATATATATATATATATATATATATATATATATATATATATATATATAAAATGACATGGTGGAGTAGTGGATAGCAGCTTGGACTGAAGAATTGTAGAGTCGAGTTTGAATTCAGTCAAATCCATTACATTCACTTACATGCTAATAGCCTTGGGAAAGGTATTAATTCTCTTTTCCTCCTACAGGACAGACTGGGTTCTACAGCCTTGGATGGTATCTGGTCTAGGAGAAGGACAACTCAAAACCTGTGGAGGGTTGTTCGGCGATCTTGTGACATGTTGTGCACCAGATCTCTGTATTTGGCCCTTCAAAAAGCATGGTTGGTTCTGCACAAAGCCTTCACCACTATAATCAAATCATATGTGCTGGTGTCTGCGCTGTTGATTCCTCGGAACTGAGCTGCTTGACGCTGATATGTCAAATATGATGGGAGAGTCCACCATATAATGACAAACAAACACTTAAAAAATCATAGGTGATATTTTATTTCATTGAAGCTGATAAAACATGGTTTCAAATCCTCAGACCTGTAAACCAAATGAAGATGGAAAGATTAAATTTATTTAAGAATAATGATTCTATATAGGGAGTAGGAGAAAGAAAGCTATTAATTTATCATCGTGTAAGTAGGGGGAAAAGAAAATGGTCTCAGTTGTATTAACACCTGCGGTGACCTAAAATGACATCCTGATTGTAGACAAAAATCGCTACATTAAAATGGTAATTGAGAATAAATTTGAAAAAAGATATTAAGTGTAAATTCAAAAGCCTGTATAGATCCTTCCTTGGTTAAGATTTTGACACATATGTATTCCACTTAAAAAACCTGTTATAATTTATATTAAAAATAGTGGTAGGCTAAGAACATTAAAAAATATTCAAAAAAATATTCAGAACCTAGCTAAAGATTTCAATTTAAACGTAAAAAAGATCTATTCAAAAGAAAATATAAAACTAAATATATAAACACACACACACACATATATATATATATATATGTATATCTCCATGCACACATGTGTGTGTGTGTTTTTAAAATATCATTATTTTTTTTTATTATTTATTTTTTGAGAATCTCATGGATAATTACATTTTAAAAACACACACACACACACATATATATATGTGGATGTGCGTGTGTGTATATATATATATATATATATATATATATATATATATATATATATTGTTTTGTTTCGGAAAGATCTTTTTTACAGTTAAATTGAGATCTTTAGCTAGGTTCTGAATATCTTTTAATGTTCTTAGCCTACCACTATTTTTAATATAAATTATAACGTTTTTTTTTAAGTTGAATACATATGTGTCAAAATCTTAACGGAGGAAGGATCCTGACAGATTTTCAAATTTACATTTAAGATCTTTTTCAAATGTATTCTCAATTGCCAATTTAATGTATCATTTTTTTTTATTAAAATCCGGATGTCATTTTAGGTCACCACGAGTGTTAATACAATGTTTTCTTTTTTTCCTCAGCCTATACGATAACTCCTACTCCCTATATGGAATCACTATTCTTAATTTTTAAACTTAAAGTTAATTTTACCATCTTCATTTGGTTTACAGGCCTGAGGATTTGAAACTATGTTTTATTGGCTTCACTGAAATAAAATATCATCTATAATTTTTTAAGTTTTTGCCATTATATAATAATTTTTGCTCTGTCTTTTGATATAGAGCTCTCAAGAGATCTATATCCTCTTGGAAATTTCATACAGATTACCAATAATTTTATTATCCATATATATATATATAAAAATAATATGACAAATTGGAAAAAAGGTTTGTGATGCATTTCATCAGTTAGGATATTCATTGAACTGGCCTTTGCTGATGTTGCTATATCAGGGTGAAACGGATGGTGTTTCTAACGCTGCTGGCCACGTCCTGAATGGTGATTTGGACAACGCGACAGGAGGAAGTCTTGTGGGGTATCCATCTTTCTCATCAGGATCTGATCCAATTCTTTGAGCATCAGCTCAAGATGAAGATTAGAACTGATAGAAAACGCTTGCATTTGACAGTCTTCAGCAAAAGGTGAGTGACTGAGGCGAGCTTGGTTCGTTTGAACGAGGTTAGCCTTGATTTTCTTTTTTAGGTTTAGCCTACGTCACATCGGGGTGGTGGTTTCCTGTGGAGCCCTCCCCTTGGTTAGGTTAGACAAGCTTTTGTGTACCTAGTTAATGTGAGTAAGTGTTTTTCCCGGCCTGTCCCCGGCCACATCTTTGGTTATGATCCAGGTTGAGATTCCCAACCTCTCCAGTTTGTTTTTGGCCCCCTTTTTATCTCGTCTGGGTCAGCTTTATATTTTCCCATGCCCGTATGATTTTTAATCCTTTTTTTGCTCCCTTATTGAGAGTGCTCCTTGATTTTGTCCAAATGGGCAGAATACAGCAGCCTCTCATTTTTGAGGGTTGGAAGGGCCCTACTAACATCAGTTATGTTTTGTTACTTTTGTGTATCGTTTTAGTTTTTTATTGGGTTCATCTCCCTTCCCTTTCATTTCATTCATCCGTAAATTTTTAATTGTACATATATAATCATTATATTTTTATGGCATGGGGTGCATTTTGTAGGTCCCCCTTGCTTGAGGGGATGTGGTATTATGGTGTATGGAGGATTGATCGGTGACGGATGAGTTCTTATGGTGAATGTGGGAATTGTTATGTATGAATGGGTCGTGAATCAGATTAGCTAGGTATAAGATAGTTAGTGAAGACCAGCCTCAACCCCTCCCCTTTTTCGGCCTTGTGCCATAATTGTATTTTTTTAATACAATATAGTCAGAATTTCATCCTGGAGAAATGCCAAACTAATCCACGCCAGTCAAAATCGTAACTAGCTACATTTTTGACGCGCAAACTTTCTCTGACTCAACACATGCATCATTTCGCTCTACCAGGAACAATTTCTTACAATACTAAAAAAAGTGATAATAACTTACTATTAACAAGTATTTGTAAACATTCAATCAAACATCAAAACAACTAAAGGTACACAACTCATACCAATTTTGGACAATAATTCAAACAAACACACGCATATGCACTATTAACTGAATTGCCACAAAAGACATTTTTGTACGTGAACATTCACTTAGTTTAATTTCACACACAAATCTTAATAACAGTTTCACACACATTGAAACTTGACATAAATATTCTACATAATTCAACTATTCACACTTATTCAACAACCTTTGATTCATTTGTGTATTTTTAAATACGTTGAATATTGTTACCTTTAACTACGTTGTTTTCGCTTTGATTTATCTTGAATGATCTTCGATATTCATGTTTCTAAATTTGTTGTGGACGAATGTTTAACTAACACCAACATTATTGACCTGATCGATAAAATAACCTCATACCTACACATTCGCCAGTCTGCAACACCCTAATGACACCTAGTGGGCACCAAGAGAAGTCTTCTAGTAGACAAGATGGTGTTGAGTGTAATCCCACATATTCATGAAAATATTGAAAAATGTGCACAAATTGTTACAATGAAAGTAGATAAATTTTTGTCAGAAAAAGTTGAAATAGCAAAAATCTGTATTTTCTTATTTTTTTGTTTTCATCTCCAGAGGGGCACACTAAAAGTGCACATACACACACACATATATATATATAGGAAGTCATAAAAATAAAATTTTGACTTAACCAATTTTAATTGATGCATTTACAAATTCTGGGTCATGAAGAATATCTGATAAAGCCATGACAGCTCGTTGCCGGGTCCGCAGATGGTCAGAATTCAGTTCCCGATTCTTTCAAAGAAAAAGAAAGGAAATAATTACCAGCATAAAAAAGTAGAAATAAAAAAAATATATCAAATAAAACTTTTAAAAGAAAATTAAAATGTCAACAGTTTAGTGAATTAGTGCATTTTTATAGGAAAAGATATATATTTTTAGTTTTTATTGACGGTATTTTTTATGCTAAACTGGACCCTTACTTTATGTTCATTTTTTACACACGTTGTATTTGTTTTTATTGGTGTGTAGTGTAGTGTACACCACTTTTAAAGTATGGAAGCTTAAAAGTAGGTTCAACTTGGGTGGAATAGATGGGGTATTTTTTGTCAATTAGTTTTTGCTTTTTTTTTTAACGGTTTTCGAAGGAATGGATCAGATTTTTCTTCAGTCTGCCTTGCCAGTCTCACGTAGCGCAACAATTGTAGGTCAATATTAGGTTCACTGTCGCGTTAGACAGTTTTTTCAATGAACGTTTCTCGTCTAAAAATCCATGCCTTTTTTCAATACTAGCCAACAAATTAATAACCTAATAAAAATGCATTTTCTGACGAGAATACACTGCACACTAAAATTAAAAAAAATATCTTTTCTTTTCAAACTGGATATTAATAATAAAACTTTTTCTGCCACTGAAATCTGGAAGTTTTTTTTTTAATGTGAGTATAAATAAAACCTGAAAAAAATTCCAGTTTGTAAGTCATTTTTTTCTTCTGATAAAAAAAGCGCATAAATAAAACTAAAAAAAAAGTTACCAGTCTAGGCAAAGCTCGATCACCATAAGCGATGGTAGCTCTTGTAGGATCAATTAAGGGGGGATATTTGGCAGAAATAACCGTATGTGCCATTTTCTATTTTTGAGAAAAGTTCGAAATATTTTTTTTAAGTCACAAAATTATTTGAAATCATCTAAATACTTCGTTGCCATAATGGTTGCTATGGGTTACACACTAACTTCCGACGATTTGCATCATGGGAAGCAACTCACTTTTGGGGGATTTTTTTTATATTTTAACTTTTTTTTACTTCTTTTTGATATTTTATTTTAGGAAAATTTTAGCAAATTTGTTTTTCATTCGAATTTTGTATTAAAAGGAAAACAAATTCTACTGTAAATAAATAATCTGACCATAAATTGGAAAAGTTACGAATTTGCTAAAAATGGCCGGCGGTTAATTATGAAATATTTGCAAATTTTTATTCAATTTTTATTTCAAGACAAAAAAGTCTTTATAAGGTTTGTAATAAATTATTTTATTTACAAAATTTAACAGAAATGTTTCTTTTAAAGAAACCAGTTTTATTTGATGTAAAAACTTGAAATTTGTGAGCTTATTTTAAGAATTGCTTGATCCTTAGATTGCTGACTTGAACTTTTCTTCAAATATTTTTCATCAATTCTTTGAATATTAAAAGAATTTTATTTTTAAGATATTAAACTAATTTATTTTCAGCACAAAATTATCTCTATTAAAATTAAGTTTTAAATCAATTTTCTTCATTAAATTTGATTTTTGCCAAAATGAAAAAGAAGTAATTAAAAAAAATTGTTTTAAAATTAATTGAAAAACTTGTTTGGATTTTTTTTTCTAAAGTTTTTGTTTTAAAATATTTATTTTAATCAGGTTTTACTTTTAACTGCTCGGGAATAAATGAAATATGTTTTTGAAGTCATTCTGAACCTAAATGGGAAAGAAATTTAGGAAAAAAAATCGAATAAAAAGTTGTGTTTCTCCTGTGAAAGAAAGAAATAAAATTAGGGATTCTATTCTCCAAGGTAAGAAATTCAGGTTTTAATTAATTACTTTATTTATTATGATTTTATAATTTATCAATTAATTACACTAATTAGTTAATTTTAGAAAACGTTTCCCAAATATTAATATTGCTCAAGATTCTTTTTATTTATTTTAGAAAATAATTAAAAAGTAATAATTTCATGTTTTACTTTTAATTAATTCTTTTTAATAATCCAAATATCAAATATAGAATTTCTTAATCAAAATAAAATGGCTGATATAATAATCTTGTGGCAACATTGCTTTTTGAATTAACAAACACCCTCGATTTATTTTACCTAGCCTCATATTCTGATCCCTAGAATATTTTTAATCTAAATGCGAATGTCAGCGTGTCACTGTGTCACATTTTTCAATTAAAGGGGCACAACTCTCTAACTTCTAACAGTTTTCATTACTGTGACTGTTTTCGGCGATTTTTTTGTGACAAATGTTTTGTATGATAACAAGTTTTATAACTTGGAAATAAATTTGGGAATAATCGAAATTAATTCCAGCAAAAGTCACCCATGAAATAAAAATAATTGTTTGTATGAAAAATAAGGGCCTGTGCACATCAAATTATCTTTAAATTAAGTGGTGGCAGAAGAATTATCGTTTAACTTTTTAAAAGTAAGCATAATGCAATACGTAAATGAAACAATCAATTTTGAGTTCTTCTGTAGTTTATTGTTGCCTATGGCATATGGCAGCAGCATGCTTCACAAAAAGAAATCTCCGTCAACAGAGGACCAGATTGCAATCAAAAGAGCCAAAGCTGCAGCAAGGAAAAGAAAGTCCTGTGCACATAAAAACATACATCAAACAGCAGCCAAGAGAGCTTCCAATGCTGAGAATATGCAAAGACTTAGGGACTCCTGAACATGCTGAAGGCCCAATCAAGAGCCCTCCATAGGAGCTAGCTTAAATGTTGCTGATAGGACGGCCTTTGAGCTATTTTTTAATAAAGTATCGAGTTTAAAAGTTTGCATCAGATTTTAAACAGATTTTCTTTTCCCAAAATAGTGGAGAGATATACCAGAAATAATTTTTTTCATCCCAATTTCCAATAGATTTGGTGCCTGTTAATCAGCACTACATTGCTCTGATAACTACAAATAACAAAGCTGCACATAAAAAAATATAACCTCCTTGAAAAGTGATATTATAAATAACCAGCAATTTATTAACCACCAAGAAAATTTTGTGAATCTACATGATGCAAATAGAATCTTTGTGGGATTATGTGGGTAGGTAAAGAATGTAAGGGAGGTAATTCAGTGTTAGAAATGTGAAATTTGTTTCAAAGGTTAATTAAAAGCAATGCTTCTTTTATTTTGTATATGCATTGAATCTGATGGAAAAAATTATTGAAAATCTAAAAACTTGGAAATTTAATTTTTGAAAGAAAAATGATATTTAATGTCAAATAAGACAAAGTCTTATTTGACATTAAATACCATTTTTCTTTCAAAAATCTTCACTAATTTTTTTCTCACTTTTCATCTCTCCTTTGTTCTTTTCACCTTTTTCTCTCTAATTTTTGAATTCTTTTCTCTCACTTATTTATTTTTACCTCATGTTTTCTAACTTCTCACTCTTCACCTCTCCTGATTTTTTTCCAAGTCCATCAAATTTCATTTCTTCCTCTTTTAAGTTTTTCTTTTCCAATGGTTTGATTTGGTTTGCTTTTTTTTAATGGCACATCAAATTTTTATGGGTCATTTAATACCAAAATTTACTTTACATGGGAGCTCTGGTATTTTTTTTTCAAAAATATATTTCAGGACTTTTTTCTTTTTTTTTTTTTTTTTTAACTGGTATTCTTACTACAAAAAAATATTTTTATACTTTCATAATGTTTTGACCCAAGTTTGGGGGTTCACTATTTACCCATAACTGAGATCCTAACAGGTGCTACCACCTTGGGTCAGGGTGAACCTGGGGACAATAGCAATTAAGAGGTGGTTTCATGCTTCTCAAAACCACTCAGTCAGAGACCTTGCTGCCAGATGTAGTTTATTGTCATACCCAGGAAAATCTTTTCCAGTGATTTTTCTCTTCCTTGTTTATTCTTGTCCTTTATAGTTCAATGCTTTTGTTCCATGGCTATTCTTTTTTATAAGATGAATAAAAATGCAAAAATTTATAAATTATACTGAACATTTCTTGTTTTAACTTCATAAAAATCATGGATCATATAATTCTAATGACTTATATAGTGTCAGTCAGTCAGTTTATTTTCCTTAAAATATCTTTTATGATGATTTTAAGAGTAATATTTAGTCAAATTTCAAGAATAGTGAAAAATAACTTTACAAATTACTTAAAAGTATTTTCCTACGTTGTTCTTTAAATCATTAATGTTTAAAGAAGAATTTCTACAACTCAACACTAACAATGTGGATTGTGGTTGAATTAATTTTGGGGAGTGGCTGAATACTTTTCTATTTTTATTGTAAAATACTGTATAAACTTTTACAAGTTTCAATTTTATTACAAAGCAGTTTATTAAAAAAATGTTGAGAATTTAAATACAGTTTGTTATACTCCGTCCAATTAGATCTCATTTTGATTCATTCTGCACGCTGTTCAGATGTGACCACCATAAAGACTGAAGACAAAATAACAAAAGTCGTTTTCTGCTCCATTCATCATGTCCAGCCTACAAAGTGAACTCTGGTGGTGGCGAATCGCAGACGGTCCCACTAGTAAAAGAGATGTCCCTGGAGACTACCAGATCTGCTTAAAAGTAGACTCTGAGGACAACCAGTGACAGTTGCAGCTTGGTGCAGTTGCTGGCCTTCACACCAGGCACTTCTACTGCTGCTGCTACCACTGCCATAACCTTGTCACCATGATTATACAGTTGTGGCCTGGCCATCACACTGGGTGCTACTACTGCTATTGCTACCACCACCATGATCTTGTCACCATGACAACAAAGTTGCGGACTGGCCACCATGCAAGGCACTACTGCCGCCACCGTTGCCGCCACCATTCAGCATGGCTTCACATTTCAGCGATTGCTCCACAGAACAAGGCTACCAAGACCACGCCAATCCAATGTCACCCTGTTTTAACACAACAGGTCGTCCAACAAAACAATCTACAGTCATGTCCTCCATCAACCAAGTGTGCACCAGCCATATCCTGTGACCTCGGCCATGCTGTCTGAAAAAATGGTTCACTCCTGTATTAAACCAGATCACCATTCCTGTACTTTTTAGCAACAATAAACATTGTTTCATTCTAATCCTCGTTATTCTTTCTCTCGTTACCATACGCTTAATATAATAGTTTAAAGAAATTTAGGTAATTTGAAAACTAAAAATATTTCCAGTAAAGTTTAACCATTGTGCCTGCAAGAAAAATGATATGTCAAAATGACAATTATTACCTTGATACTACTATTACACCATCTTGTTACTCCCTCAGCAATGTTTATTTACAAGATTATAAAAATATGTGAAGCAAGTACAATGTAATATTTATTATTTACTTTTTATAAAGATTTGTTATTTACCAGTTTATAAAAAGCAAATTTGGAAATAAATTTTTTATTAAAAAATTAAAAAAAAATTTACTAAATTATCAAAATATGTAAAACAACAACAATGCAATTTTTGTAATAAAAATTATGGACATTCTGTAATACGTAATGAAAACTTTATCCCTCCAATTTATAGGGAGATACTCAAAATATGGAGTTTTTGTAGTCTTGCATAAAATCTAGAATTAAGAGTGTTTGATTCACATATTTTTATAATCTTGTAAATATAAAATTATCATTGTAAATAAGCAATCTAATAAATAAATAGTATTTAATATCTTTGTCATTTCTCAAGAATAAAGAAAATGTATAAATCCATTTTCACATTTTATTAATATTCTAATCATTACTTTTTAAAAAAAAAACATAGCCAAGGGAGTAAAAAATCAGTGTAATAGCTGAGTCAAGGGAATAACTATTCTTTTGATACATCATTTTTTGCAAATACAAAGGTTAAACCTTGCAATATTTTAATGAAAGAATTTCAGAAAAATTAAAAGTTTTAAAAATGTTTGATAATAAAGACTGACTTGAGACTAATCTAATCACTAATTTCAAAGTTTTTAACAAACTTGTAAAATCTACAATTACCAACTTTAACATGTCTTGGCTGTTCGTTCTTGAATATAGAAAAGAAAGGATGAAATCATTTGCTTGAGAACAATTTCAGAATTCAGAGATTTCAAATTTGACTTAATGTGATAGTTTTTTTCAGTAAAAAATTCATATAAATATCAAATAATTTGTTAAATTGATCATAAAATTATGTTGTTTTTGACATTTTTTAGGTAGTCTAAAAAATTTTTTACTTTGATTTCTGGAACATGTTTATTTTTGATGAACAAGTAGACATATAGTGTCCCAAGTTTGGAGCAGTGAACAGACTGTGTCCCAAGTTTGGACTGGTGGACAGACTGTGTCCCAATTTTGGACTGGTGGACAGACTGTGTCCCAAGTTTGGAGCAGTAAATAAATTGTGTCCCAAGTTTGGACTGGTGGACAGACTGTGTCCCAAGTTTGGAGCAGTGAACAAATTGTGTCCCAAGTTTGGACTGGTGGACAGACTGTGTCCCAAGTTTGGAGCAGTTAACAAATTGTGTCCCAAGTTTGGACTGGTGGACAGACTGTGTCCCAAGTTTGGACTGGTGGACAGACTGTGTCCCAAGTTTGGAGCAGTTAACAAATTGTGTCCCAATTTTGGACTGGTGGACAGACTGTGTCCCAATTTTGGACTGGTGGACAGACTGTGTCCCAAGTTTGGAGCTGTGAACAAATTGTGTCCCAAGTTTGGACTGGTGGACAGACTGTGTCCCAAGTTTGGAGCAGTGAACAAATTGTGACCAAGTTTGGACTGGTGGACAGACTGTGTCCCAAGTTTGGAGCAGTAAACAAATTGTGTCCCAAGTTTGGACTGGTGGACAGATTGTGTCCCAAGTTTGGAGCAGTGAAAAAATTGTGTCCCAAGTTTGGACTGGTGGACAGACTGTGTCCCAAGTTTGGACTGGTGGACAGACTGTGTCCCAAGTTTGGACTGGTGAACAAATTGTGTCCCAAGTTTGGACTGGTGGACAGACTGTGTCCCAAGTTTGGAGCTGTGAACAAATTGTGTCCCAAGTTTGGACTGGTGGACAGACTGTGTCCCAAGTTTGGAGCAGTGAACAAATTGTGTCCCAAGTTTGGGCTGGTGTACAGACTGTGTCCCAAGTTTGGGCTGGTGTACAGACTGTGTCCCAAGTTTGGACTGGTGGACAGACTGTGTCCCAAGTTTGGAGCAGTGAACAAATTGTGTCCCAAGTTTGGACTGGTGGACAGACTGTGTCCCAAGTTTGGAGCAGTAAACAAATTGTGTCCCAAGTTTGGACTGGTGGACATACTGTGTCCCAAGTTTGGAGCAGTGAACAAATTGTGTCCCAAGTTTGGACTGGTGGACAGACAGTGTCCCAAGTTTGGACTGGTGGACAGACTGTGTCCCAAGTTTGGACTGGTGGACAGACTGTGTCCCAAGTTTGGACTGGTGAACAAATTGTGTCCCAAGTTTGGACTGGTGGACAGACTGTGTCCCAAGTTTGGAGCAGTGAACAAATTGTGTCCAAAATTTGGACTGGTGGACAGACTGTGTCTCAAGTTTGGAGCAGTGAACAGACTGTGTCCCAAGTTTGGACTGGTGGACAGACTGTGTCCCAAGTTTGGACTGGTGGACAGACTGTGTCCCAAGTTTGGACTGGTGGAAATACTGTGTCCCAAGTTTGGACTGGTGGACAGACTGTGTCCCAAGTTTGGAGCAGTGAACAAATTGTGTCCCAAGTTTGGACTGGTGTACAGACTGTGTCCCAAGTTTGGAGCAGTGAACAAATTGTGTCCCAAGTTTGGACTGGTGGACAGACTGTGTCCCAAGTTTGGAGCAGTGAACAAATTGTGTCCCAAGTTTGGACTGGTGGACAGACTGTGTCCCAAGTTTGGACTGGTGGACAAACTGTGTCCCAAGTTTGTTAACAAATTGTGTCCCAATTTTGGACTGACAGACTGTGTCCCAAGTTTTGGACTGGTGGACAGACTGTGTCCCAAGTTTGGGCTGGTGAACAAATTGTGTCCCAAGTTTGGACTGGTGGACAGACTGTGTCCCAAGTTTGGAGCAGTGAACAAATTGTGACCAAGTTTGACTGGTGGACAGACTGTGTCCCCAAGTTTGGAGCAGTAAACAAATTGTGTCCCAAGTTTGGACTGGTGGACAGATTGTGTCCCAAGTTTGGAGCAGTGAAAAATTGTGTCCCAAGTTTGGACTGGTGGACAGACTGTGTTCCAAGTTTGGACTGGTGGACAGACTGTGTCCCAAGTTTGGACTGGTGAACAAATTGTGTCCCAAGTTTGGACTGGTGGACAGACTGTGTCCCAAGTTTGAGCTGTGAACAAATTGTGTCCCAAGTTTGGACTGGTGGACAGACTGTGTCCCAAGTTTGGAGCAGTGAACAAATTGTGTCCCACGTTTGGGCTGGTGTACAGACTGTGTCCCAAGGGCTGGTGTACAGACTGTGTCCCAAGTTTGGGCTGTGTCCTGTGTCCCAAGTTTGACTGGTGGACAGACTGTGTCCCAAGTTTGGAGCAGTGAACAAATTGTGTCCCAAGTTTGGACTGGACAGACTGTGTCCCAAGTTTGGACAGAATTGTGTCCCAAGTTTGGACTGGTGGACATACTGTGTCCCAAGTTTGGACTGGTGAACAAATTGTGTCCCAAGTTTGGACTGGTGGACAGACAAATGTCCCCCAAGTTTGGACTGGTGGACAGACTGTGTCCCAAGTTTGGACTGGTGGACAGACTGTGTCCCAAGTTTGGACTGGTGAACAAATTGTGTCCCAAGTTTGGACTGGTGGACAGACTGTGTCCCAAGTTTGGAGCAGTGAACAAATTGTGTCCAAAATTTGGACTGGTGGACAGACTGTGTCCTGAGTTTGGAGCAGTTAACAAATTGTGTCCCAAGTTTGGACTGGTGGACAGACTGTGTCCCAAGTTTGGACTGGTGAACAAATTGTGTCCCAAGTTTGGACTGGTGGACAGACTGTGTCCCAAGTTTGGAGCAGTGAACAAATTGTGTCCCAAGTTTGGGCTGGTGTACAGACTGTGTCCCAAGTTTGGACTGGTGGACAGACTGTGTCCCAAGTTTGGAGCAGTGAACAATTGTGTCCCAAGTTTGGACTGGTGGACAGACTGTGTCCCAAGTTTGGAGCAGTAAACAAATTGTGTCCCAAGTTTGGACTGGTGGACAGACTGTGTCCCAAGTTTGGAGCAGTGAACAAATTGTGTCCCAAGTTTGGACTGGTGGACAGACAGTGTCCCAAGTTTGGACTGGTGGACATACTGTGTCCCAAGTTTGGACTGGTGGACAGACTGTGTCCCAAGTTTGGACTGGTGAACAAATTTTTGGACTGTCAGACTGTGTCCCAAGTTTGGAGCAGTGAACAAATTTGTCCCAAGTTTGGACTGGTGTACAGACTGTGTCCCAAGTTTGGAGCAGTGAACAAATTTGTGTCCCAAGTTTGGACTGGTGGACAGACTGTGTCCCAAGTTTGGAGCAGTGAACAAATTGTGTCCCAAGTTTGGGCTGGTGTACAGACTGTGTCCCAAGTTTGGTCTGGTGTACAGACTGTGTCCCAAGTTTGGACTGGTGGACAGACTGTGTCCCAAGTTTGGAGCAGTGAACAAATTGTGTCCCAAGTTTGGACTGGTGGACAGACTGTGTCCCAAGTTTGGAGCAGTAAACAAATTGTGTCCCAAGTTTGGACTGGTGGACAGACTGTGTCCCAAGTTTGGAGCAGTGAACAAATTGTGTCCCAAGTTTGGACTGGTGGACAGACAGTGTCCCAAGTTTGGACTGGTGGACAGACTGTGTCCCAAGTTTGGACTGGTGGACAGACTGTGTCCCAAGTTTGGACTCAAATTGTGTCCCAAGTTTGGACTGGTGGACAGACTGTGTCCCAAGTTTGGACAGTGAACAAATTGTGTCCCAAGGACTTGGACAGACTGTGTCCTGAGTTTGGAGCAGTTAACAAATTGTGTCCCAGTTTGGACTTTGGACAGACTGTGTCCCAAGTTTGGACTGGTGAACAAATTGTGTCCCAAGTTTGGACTGGTGGACAGACTGTGTCCCAAGTTTGGAGCAGTGAACAAATTGTGTCCCAAGTTTGGGCTGGTGGACAGACTGTGTCCCAAGTTTGGACTGGTGGACAGACTGTGTCCCAAGTTTGGAGCAGTGAACCCCAAGTTTGGACTGGTGGACAGACTGTGTCCCAAGTTTGGAGCAGTAAACAAATTGTGTCCCAAGTTTGGACTGGTGGACAGACTGTGTCCCAAGTTTGGAGCAGTGAACAAATTGTGTCCCAAGTTTGGACTGGTGGACAGACAGTGTCCCAAGTTTGGACTGGTGGACATACTGTGTCCCAAGTTTGGACTGGTGGACAGACTGTGTCCCAAGTTTGGACTGGTGAACAAATTGTGTCCCAAGTTTGGACTGGTGGACAGACTGTGTCCCAAGTTTGGAGCAGTAAACAAATTGTGTCCCAAGTTTGGACTGGTGGACAGACTGTGTCCTGAGTTTGGAGCAGTTAACAAATTGTGTCCCAAGTTTGGACTGGTGGACAGACTGTGTCCCAAGTTTGGGACTGGTGGACAGACTGTGTCCCCAAGTTTGGACTGGTGAACAAATTGTGTCCCAAGTTTGACTGGTGGACAGACTGTGTCCCAAGTTTGGACTGGTGAACAAATTGTGTCCCAAGTTTGGACTGGTGTACAGACTGTGTCCCAAGTTTGGAGCAGTGAACAAATTGTGTCCCAAGTTTGGACTGGTGGACAGACTGTGTCCCAAGTTTGGAGCAGACAAATTGTGTCCCAAGTTTGGACTGGTGGACAGACTGTGTCCCAAGTTTGGACTTGTGAACAAATTGTGTCCCAAGTTTGGACTGGTGGACATACTGTGTCCCAAGTTTGGAGCAGTGAACAAATTGTGTCCAAAATTTGGACTGGTGGACAGACTGTGTCCTGAGTTTGATCCTTTTGTTAATTGATATGTTTTATGTAAGAAAGAATATATATATAGAATTAAATATGTTTTATGTAAGAAAGAATATATATATAGAATTAAAACAGCAGCACCAAAGATTCCTTTAAGCTTTAAATGTATCTTTTTTTATTAATGGTTTTTCTTATTTTTAGTGTTTAAAGCTCGTCTCCAATCTCCTGGCAAAGGTGGTGCTCTTCTTGTTGGTAAAGCTGTGGATCCTCCATTATTTCTAGATAACAATCCAAATAAAAAATTACAAATTTTTTATTCATCAAGTGGTTCTGATATTGGTTCTCATTCAAGTGATTATTTAATGGCCAAGAAAAAGAAAGTCAAGTGCAAAAGAAAAACTACAAAAGAAAATTCAGCCAAGGTTTGTGCTTTTCAATTTGAAATTCTGGCAATGTTTAACCTGCTTGAAAAAAAAAGTGTGTCAAAATGATGGATATTCATTTGATACTGCTATTACTGCATACACTTTTGACTCCCCTCAGTGACATTTATTGTTTTAAAAAGCAATGATTAGAATTTTAATGAGACTTAAACATATGAAAGTGGATTTATACGTTTTCCTTATTCTTGAGAATTGGCAACAAGGATGTTAAACACTTTATTTATTAAATTGCTTATTTACAAGAATAATAATTTTATATTTACAAGATTATAAAACTATGTGAACCAATTATAATGAAATATTTATTATTTACCATTTTATAAAGAAATAAATATGAAAAGAAATTTTTTATTCATTCGTTTAAAAAATGTTGATGAACAAGACCATTTAAATAAGCACTTAACGATGAGTAATTAATTATAAGTTTTTAAAAAATACATTTTCTGGCTATTTCTTTTATTTGCTTTAATCACATAAATTTACTGAAATAGGTCCAGAACATCTCTTGCATATTTTGATAATTTTTTTCATTTTCTTTTTTTTTTATAAAATGATAAATAATATATTTTTATAAAAAGTAAATAATAAATGTTACATTGTACTTGGTTCATACATTTTTATAATTTTGTAAATAAACATAGCCAAGAGAGTCAAAGGTGTTTTCAGTAATAGTTGTCGAGAATAAATGTCTTTTTGACATACTTTTTTTTTTTTGCGGGCACAAAGGTTAAACATTGCCAAAATCCTTTTAATACAGTTCTTTTTGTTCAATGTCATCAAAGATAAGATGAATTTGTTTAGTAAACATGTTATATGTGTGTGTATTTGCATGCTAATAGTTATGTAGATATACATGCAATTTTATATATATATATATATATATATATATATGTGTGTGTGTGTGTGTGCGTGTGTGTTTGAAAGACTTGTTGGAATGACAATTATCAAAATGGCGAAACTGAAAAAGGTAGACACATGTGGTAATTAAGGAACCACACTTAAAATAAATTTGTTACTAAAAAAAAAAAAAAAACAAATTCTGATTTTATTTTGTATTTTTTTAGTAATAATTTTATTTTAGTCATGGCTCCTTAATTACCTCCTAGTGTCTACCTTTTTCACTTTCACTGTTTTGATTATTGTTGTTCCAGTGAATCTTTCTGAAAAAGCGTTGGTTGAAAAAGGTCCCTTTAAAAGAATGTATTCTGTCATATTTAAATTCTGTGGTACAAAATTTTTGTTTGAATATATATGTGTGTATATTTCAATCAGTTTATGTGTATTCATCTATACAAATGTAATGCTCCATGTTAAGGAAAGGAATTGTTTACTAAGATGTCTTTTCTTCATTGTGGCTTTATGCATAAGTGTGAATGTATGTAAATAAATTTGCTCATATTTTTAATGTCAAGATTTTATAATTAGAAATTGATTGATTTGTTTTTTATGGTTTATCAATCCTTTGTGTAGCAAGTTCTACATGCAGCCTTCTCTATCACCATTAAATTTCAACATGAAGAGCTGATTGGTGTGTTCCTCTGTCAAAATTTCCCACATGTCAGTGAGGAGGTTATTTTATTGTGAAAATGAGTTCTCACAGTCCATCGATATGGTCCTTGTCTATATGAAATCCATAGCTACTTTACCCAAATTGTGGGTGCGATGAATCATGGATTGCCAGTATGCATACAAATCCAGGTCGTCTGGTAATTTCTTGTCCTTTTCGGTGGCCTTTGCTGCTGGGATGTAAACATCCCATTCATCCCGTAATTAGTGGGTGGGAGTTTCAAATCCGGTGACAGCTGAGTAAAACTAATGTCAGTGGAAATTGTGCCGATACTGCGGGGAATCAAAAATCCTGCACAATTTATAAAATTTCATTGCCTAGCTGTTTGTATGTTTTGACAGTTTCTGGAAAACTATTATTGAAGTGTTGTTCTCTGGCATTATATTTATCTTCTCTATAAAGTTTGATCAGACAAGCATCGGTTTTTCCTGAAGGTAGGTTTTGATGCACCTTTTGAGAAATAAGTGATCATATCACTGATTTTCATATACATCACTGGCACAACTGGCTCATTTCCCTCCAATTTTGTCAGAGTGTGTTGGATCCTGGGTGTCGATTCCAGTATGAAACTCATTTTCAAGAGCAAGTCCATTTTCTGATCAGTGACAGCTTTTCTAACTCTGTTTACATTTTGCGCATCGCTTATTTCAGACTTAAAAAAAGATTCAAATGTATCCAGGTGTGTACAATGGTATTCTACAGCTTTGAAGTATGTTCTCCAGTGTGTTTGAACTGGCTCAGGGGGTAAATTTGCTGGTTGGACATTCATTGTTTTCAAGTAATCACTATAATGGCTATGACATTGTGGCCTGGCATTTGAAAATGTTTTTTATATCATTAACAAAAATGTTGACTTTGTGAAAATACATATCCTTCACAAGATCTTCCCCAACAAGATTGAGGATGTGTGCCATGCACTTGATGTTTATGGCTTGGGTAATATATTTTTAAAAATTGCAAATGCACTCTTACAAAATTCAGCATTGTCAGTCACAATACAGCAGACATTATTGTAGTCTATTCCAACATTTAACAGTGTTTTCAAAATTGCCTGACTCTATGTTTGTGATTTTTCCATGAAGACAATGTCTACCAAGTATAATTTTTCCAAATGACTATCACATTCAATATGCTTTTATTATGACAGTCTGTCATTTCATTGACGTTAACTGACACCAATTTGTCAGTTTTTCCTTCAAAACTGAGTAATGCTTATCAAAAACACAAGGCACATGTGTCTGATGAATATTCTCTGGTGTTGTGCTTGCACCTCTTTGGGAGAAATATTTCTTCAAAAATGGCTTCATTTTTGTAGCTTTTTTAAAGTGGTATATCAGCATATGTCATCATATGCACAAAATTGCTTTGGAAATCACATTGCTGCTCCATAATGGTGGTCGCAGCTTTTCCAAATAATGTGCATTGTTTTTTTCTGGGGAACTTTCCCTTTGGAAGCATCTTTATTTTTATTTTTTTTTTGTTTCAACAATTTCTGATGATCCACAAGTGTGTCCCTCTGAGTCCAATCTATGGTGTGTTGACAAAAAGTGCAAAATAATTTATTGCTATCATGGAAAGCTGGCTCTTCAACTCTGTATTTTGCCGAAAGTGTGCACCCACCAAGTTTACTAGCTTTTCATTTACTTATTGTAAAAGATAATCAAACTAGCATTTAAAAATCTAATTTAATTACGAAACAAACAACACTATTCATATGCTAATATCATATGTGAGTATTTGCCCTCTGGCAATCAGTGGTGAGTGGTTTGTCCAGATTAATATCATGAATTAGATTATGGCACTTGCACAGTACTGGGATCAGTAGTGGAAAATACCCTGTTATTTATAGAATGACATGTTGCAGCAATATAGATTGTAGTGTTTACCCATAAGTGATTGACTTTACTGTGTGTTGCAAATTTATGCAAAATAATGATTCTGGAATTGCAGGAATTTTAGGTTTTACTGTTGAAATATACAAAATTTTGAAGTGATGACAGTGGATATGGAAGGCCTACTACAAAGTACAAACTGCATTTATGTTGATAGTATGGTAAATATAAAAATTAAAAAGGCTCTGATTTTCATGATAACTTTTTCTTTCTGTCGCTCTCTATTTCTTATTTTTTTATTTGGATTTTATTTTTGAGTAGCAAAAATCCCGTGTTTTTTTTTCTGTACCATGGAGAACTTGCTACTCTACCTTTGGCTTAATTTAAAGTGGAAAGAAAAATATTTGGGATTGTTGGGTCTTGCTTACAGTACCCACTGTTACTAATCCCCTCCCCACCTAAGTATTGACCAGGCTAAACACTGCTTAACTTTGGTGATTGAATGAGAACTTCTATTTTCAGTGTGATTTGACCATTAGCTTATAATTACAAAGATGATATTTTAAAAGGAGTTCGATCTGGACATATCAGCAAAGCAACACATTCAAAGGAAGCAATTTACTATTTCAGTCACTCTCACTATTAATCTTGTATGTGTTTATCAATAATATTTTTAAGTTTCCTATTTTGAGATGTTTTAATAATTATTGATTATTAGTTTTATTGTTTGATCAACATTGCTTCACAGGATAGAAAAGATGTTTTTGTATATTAAAATTAAAATAACTGATTCTTTTTATTTGAATCCCATTTAACCAAAAATGAAGTTTCTCTGTTTCTCTTCCAGACTTTTGATAATCCCATAAAAAAGCACATAAAAGTAAGTATGCATCAAATATGCTTGCAAAATTAATTTGCAATTATTTTCATTGTTTTTTGTTCAAAAAAGTTCTAAAAATTTATTATATTATTATAATTTTTTTCTTTATTTTCCTTCTTAAACTGAAATCTTTTAACAAATTGGATTCACTAAAACTGAGAATCCATTGCATATAACATGTCTACTCACATATTCTCATATGTACTTTTCATACCTGAACATATTTTATAACTGAATGCCAAATCTGTTAAAATTAACCCTTGCTTATTTGGCAAAAAGGATTGCATTAATCAATAGTAATCTCATAATAAGTGAGGCCTGTTAGAAAGGATGTTCAGGAGATAGTAACTAGAAAGGGATATGTGCTGTAAGATTGTATTTTAATAAGACACAGCCCCATTTACAAATAGAAAAATGAATTGAAGTTATTTCTTATTGTTTCTGCTGATGTTCATTGTGATGAGAAAAATATTTGAATAATTAAAATTTGATTAACTCTTCAGCAGTTAAATGAAATGGATAATTCATTGCCAACACCTGGAACGTCATCAGAAAAATATCCTGAACAGAAGATCAGTCTTATAACCCAAAGCAGAGTTACAGTAAGTAATCAAAATTAACTTTGTTGGTTTGCCATATTTAATTGGCTTGTAGATATTTTTTTTCTTTTGTACTTGAAGAGCTCTTCAGATGTCAAAGGATGTCAATATTTATTACATTGATTTATGAGAAAATATCCTTGAAAAAGGTTTGAATACTCAGCTATGGGATAAATAGTAGGACTCTTAACTGGAAAAATCATTGTTATCTCAAAAAAATTGTTAACATAGTACTTACTAAAAACAAAAATTTCTTACAATCTAAAATATATTTTGGCTTTAAATAGCCCACAAAGAGTGGATAAGCTGCAAAAATAAATTAGTCGATCAATTTAGATGGCAAAACTTGATTGGTTCAGAAATTTTCTTTTGCTAATATCAACCAAAACATAATAATTTCTATCTGAATTTCTAATGAGAAGTTATCATTATTTACATTTGGACTAATATCCTCATCTTTGTTGTTATTATCACCTGATTGCCTGCTGTCTGAATATCTGGGATGAGGAGTTATCATTATTTACATTTGGACTAATGTCCTCATCTTTGTTGCTATTATCACAGTGTTTTGGCTATGGTACCCACTGAGGTCACAATGGTCACTAACAACAGTTCAAATATATATAATACAAAACAAAATAGAGTATATTTAAAATATTTTAATGCAAATAACTGTCAATTCTGTTTTCTTTTCAGAAATGTTTGGGCCTTTTCAACCGAGGCAGGAAATCTGACAAAATTGCTCGAGGTATTTGTGATTTTGATTGTTTCAAACGCCTGATGCTAGTGAATAGGTTGTTTGTGTGCGTGTGCATTTGTTTGTATAATTAAAATATTAAGTAAAGCTGGAGTTAACCTCTATCCCAACCACCTTTAATTACAAATTCGCACATTGATAGTTAGATTGATCTCTTGTTATTTTATACTTGTTTGTATTTTATTTTGATATCAAGCAACAGCCACTGAACAACAACAACTGAAGCCAGAGATATTAGTATACTACATGCATATTTGATCTTATTGTATTTATTTGTATGAAATTTCTAAATTAACTAATTGAATTAAATATTAAAAATAATAATTTACTAATAAAATGTTAACAATAAAATAATAATTTAATTATTAAATATCAATTAATTAAGTAAATGATTTCATTATTAAATTATATTCATTTGTATGAAATTTATAAATTACCTAATTTAATTAAATATTAATTATAACCAGGTGCTCTGTGGCTTTGGAGAAATAAACATGTATTGTTGAGAACTTGTGGCAAATTGTTCTCTGTGTGTGCACAATTTGGCAGTGATACCTGGACACCAAATGTATTGGTCTCGGGGTGTTTCTACCACAACGATTCCTCCATGATTTGCTGGATTGGCAGCACCAAACCTCAGTATGAAACCCCCTCATTCAAGTTGTTAACATGGCTTGGTATTGAGGCTATACCACCAGTGCTGCGCGCCCATCATAGATGGTTCAGTTATGTCTAATGAGCTTCATCATGCATTACGACTGTCTCGGAATTCAGAGTTCCTGCTCATGGATGTCAAGGTAGACCTAGAAAGATGTGGAATGGCTGCAATGGGATGGATGTGTGAGAATGCCTTGCACACATTAGCTCGTTTGGCAGGGATGCTTGGAAAAAAGGAGTGGGAGCTGCCTACCCCACTCACTGGGAAAACTGCAGCAGTATAATTAAAGCACCGGATCTTGACTTGAATAATGATTTACTAATAAAATGTTAATAATAAAATGATTATTTAATAATTAAATATCAATTAATTAAATAAATGAATTAATTATTAAATTATATTTATTTGTATACATTTCTAAATTAACTAATTTAATTAAATATTAATTATTAATAATAATAATTTACTAATAAAATGTTAATAATAAAATAATAATTTAATAATTAAATATCAATTAATTAAATAAATAAATGAATTATTAAATTTATTTATATATAAATTTCTACAAAAACTCGGTCATACATCTTTTGTTTTCATCTGCTAGAACTGAAAAATGGCTGAGGGATAGGAAAAATCTGATGCAGAAAATGCTCAAGATGCTTATCAAACAGTATTAATAATTTTTCCGAACCTCTTTGCTTTCATTGATTTGCCAAATAAAATTACTGCATGAGAAATGCTTTTTGATGACATTGAGTAAAAGTGAATTAGACTGTGTAAAACCTTTAACAAATTGATAGATGTTTTTTGTTCATCACTTTGTAATTTGTTTGAGACAATTCTCAGGATGATAAAACAGCAGTTGGCATATCAGGAGATCCGAATAAGAATAATTAGCAATTAATGAATGTAAGACAGGTAAATCTTATTGTTGTGATATGAGTTCGTCTGCCTTGGAAAGAATTAAAGGGTTTATGCAGTGAATAAAGTTTTGGAAATATTTACACTATTTACGTCATTCAGACTGTTGTCCTCATCTTTATTGTCATATTTACAACTAGCAGTACAGCCCGGTGTTGCCCCGGGATGTAACAGTAAGAGATAGATCAAGTATCGACCGTCATAAAGACTGAAAATTAAAATTGACAAAGATTATTGTTTAAGGTTGATGGACATGCATGTCTTAATTAGTTTTTTGTTTTTTTTTGTTTTTTAGTTTTTTTTTACGAATTGGTCAAACCCAAACTCAAACAAAAACATTGTTTTCAATCGTTATAAGACTACTGATTGAATAGAATTTTATTATAAACAATTGTCTTGTAAATGGAATTTTAAAAGCATTCTGAATGTAAAAATAAAGAAAAAAGTGTGCAAGACAATAAGAAACACTACCTGCCAAAGAAAAGTGAAGTTTTGTTGAAATCGGTTGAAAAATGTAGGAAATCCGATCCCATATATAAAGGAACACACACACACACACACACACACACACACACACACACACAACCTGGGTTTTATAATAAGTATAACCTGATATGAGTTGTCCCCCTTTCATTCTCACGATGCCTCTTAATCGTGTTTTCAAATGAATTTCGTGGAAAACAATTGTGTTTTTTCCAATTTTTGGTGCTGTTAGAACCACCGCAAGGTAATTTTACGTTGTCCTGTGAAGTTTTGTTGAAATCGGTTGAAAAATGTAGGAAATCCGATCTAATATATAAACATACAGACACACACACACACAACCTGGGTTTTATAATAAGTATGATGTTTTGACCATTGTATGCTCCGGCCTTCTTTGGGGTTTTATTTTTCAGCTCCAATTTCTATGTCTGAATCTGTTCAGAACAAAACAAATGAAGATTTAAAAAGAGTTTTGAATATTAAAAATACAAATGACAATGATTGCAGTGAAGAAGATGGTGAAAACTATTCTAATATGCCTCCCAAGTAAGTATTTTATTCAAATTAAAACTTCAGATAATCTTTTTTCATAGTACACAGTCATTTATTGAAAACAGATCCTACTTATCTTTCAGTTTTAAAAAATTCACACAAAAAATAACCCCATCCTTTTTAAAAAAAAAAAAAAAAAATATCTCCCAGGTCTTGTAATCAAAGTTGAGGTATTTATTTAGCAGTATTTGTACCTAGCCTTGCTCTAATACTTTTGTGAAGTTTAACAGAAATTAGAATTGACATGTCATGCTTATTTCCATGGCCAAAAATAGACACTATGTAGGCTCCTTCACAGTCAATTGGAATAGCTTGCAGGAGTGTATAAAAAGATGCAGCAATCTCTTTTCTTCCTCCCCCACAGGATATTGGTCATGAAACTCGACTCTTTTTTTGTCAAGCTGTCATTGTAGATAGATACGTTAACATTTTCCAAAATGAAGCACTCACAACCAGGAGACATTTCATCATCCTAATAAAGGCACACACAATTCTGGTACAGACATTTTAAAAAACAACTGCATGTGTACATTTCTTTCTGATTTGTTATAAATTGTTTTCTATGTATGTCATACTAAAAGGTTCAGTCTTATTTACTGACTGTATCCAGTTTTGCATGATTTCCCTGTCTTTCTTTTTCTCCAAATCTGCTTTTTACAACTACTAGGATTAATGGGAACAACTGACAATAACATCCCTCGTTATTCTCATACCACCTGAACATGTGTCTTTGTTTTAATGTTGTTTAGGGATTTACCTTTAAAAGCTTTATCTAAGAAAAGAATAATACAAAACTTTAATTTTAAGCCTAAGATGGGGCGAATCTTATAAGCTACCAATTGTAAGCTTGGATGTGTATGTGGTGTAATTGATAATGGCTCAGAATTGGAAATTGAATAGCCGAGTTCCAATTCCAGTCACAGTCATTGGGAAAGGTATGAATCCGTCTCTTCTCACCCAAGCTATAGATTAATTAGTAGGACTTGTATCAATAATTCATTATTATCTACAAAAAAATCTTACAATCTAAAAATATTTTCTGTCTTGACAAACCATAGAAAACAAATCAATCAATCATTGATTTTGTTTAACTTAGAAAATTGATTGTTAGGATTTGAACTATATAAAATATTGCAAATCTATTTTTTTAATTCTCTGATTAATCCTCTTTATTCCTCTTCTTGGTTCTGTTAATCCTCTTTACTAATCTTTTAATCTGTTAATTCTTTACCATAATCCTCTTTATTCTGTTATTCCTCTTTACTAGTCCTTTTTAATCTGTTAATTATTTACCATAACTCTTTATTCTGTTAACCCTCTTTACTTATCCTTTTTTAATCTGTTAATTCTTTGCCATAATCCTCTTTATTCTGTTAATCCTCTTCACTAATCTTCTTTAAATATGTTAATTCATTAACATAATTCTCATTATTCTGTTAACCCTTTTACTAATACTTTTTAACTTGTTAATTCTTTACCATAATCCTCTTTATTCTGCTATTCCTCTTTACTAATCTTTTTTTAATCTGTTAATTCTTTACCATGATCTTCTTTATTCTCTTAATCTTCTTCACTAATCTTCTTTTGGAAATGTTCAGTATTTTCTGATTTGCTTTAATCTAATTTCAGTAA